TCACATCTATCTGTCGAGTAACTTATAGATATCTTTAAAAAAATTGTGCGCAAATCGATGTATCATACTATTGACGCTGCCTTGCCAAGTTGCCATTCCGTCCTAGCTGTTCCGGTCACGTCATTTACGTAATTTAGAACCTGTTGAGTAAACGGGTTTAAAGCGGCCGCAGATTTTCATTTCGTTCAAGGTCTCCCGTGGTCATTGTACTGTGTGTTCAAAATTTTAACCGTAATACGAAAATGTACGTACGAACGTAATCTCCATAACATACTAGTGGTGCATATTCGGTACTTGGAACTTGGGTGGATACTTGGCTTTCTTGAAAAACATGCATATGCCTCTATAGTTTATTTTTACATACTTGGTGAAGTATTTTTTGTAAGTCAATACAAACATTGTGAGAAAATCACGATTTCATGTAAATTGTGCGTCTGTTTACCAAAAATGCCAATTTAGAAAAAATGCATTATATACTAATCTACAAAGCTATTGAGTTTGTGTATTTGTTTGAATGCGAAATAGTTGTTTGAATTGAAAAAAATATTTTTGCGTTGATCAGAACATTTATCGGGGAAGTTTAGGCTATAAAACATAACGATGCATGAAGAAGCAAGAAACAGTGGGGAGTGTGGTAAAAAAGGGTAAACATACTAATCGTTGAGGAAAAAGCGGTTTAAGATACCCAAAAAATATGTTGAGAAATATCTCTTAAACTCAAATCTTTGAAGATTACTTAGAGGACGGAGCGGCTGACGTCGTCGGTCACAGCTATTTTAAAAATATGAGGGCGAGGTTTGCAAACCCAAAATTTTGTTGACCAATTTAACATTTCTATGGGATGAGTCCCTAACAAGCTAGTAATAAATAAATAGTAAGATATTGCTTTGCCTGTCCTTCTTCACGATTATGACGGATATTCATTTTATAGAGTTACTTTAATAGATACAATATTCTACGCGGACGAGTCGCTGACACAGCTAGTATAAATATATATTACTTAGTATAGAAAATTCCTAAAATAAGGACGCAAATTTCAATTCAGATTTCTGTACCCTGCCGACCGAAATAATGAACCGTTTCCCCGGATTAGACCTTATATTTATAGTATTGCTAGACAGTGCTTGCCGTTACGAAACTGAAGGTACGCGTAAAAGCTATTTCAAGAATTGTAAGGCGGAAACTGGTGGGGGGCGGGTTTACTTTCTCTGGGAGAGAGGGGGGGAGTAGGGTGGCTACGCTGTACTCTGTATAAGCGGGTTTTCTTGATACTCGTACTCGGGCGAATAGGGTCGGTTATATATTTTTTAAGCAAAGTAATATATTTAGGTAGATATAATTAAAACAACAGTCTTAATCCAAAAGTATGTATTTGTTATTTACGTATTTTTTTTTATTTCAATTATTTAAATCAAAATAATGCTAATGAATGTGTAGTATGAGACAAATTATGAAAAGTAAGAAAAAATATTTAAAAAATTTAAAAAAAAATTTGTTTGATCCGGGTTAGTCGGCCGGGTACTCGGTTGAAAAAATTGAGCCGGAGTAAAACTCGTTACTCGGCGCATCTCTACTATTCTCTATTTCTGCGTTATGTACAGAGTTCAAGATTATATAAACCCTATTTTATCAAGACAAGTTCAAATGTCAGTCAGCTGTAAGTATGAAGGTGAAATAGGACAAAGCTTATCATTAGGAAGTCTACCAGGTCACTTGGGATAAACTCTTCACTGGTGGAAGACAGAAAAGAAAACATGTTTTCTTTATATTATATTCGGTTGTAACAACACTATCTATATTTTTTTAATATATATAAAGCTAAAGGAATGATTTCTCTTCAAAATGATCTAAAAATATGTCAGCGACGCTTTTAGATTAATTTGCAAGAATAACGACCCAAACGACAGGTCGCGAGCGACTGCGACCGATGTCGTAGGTAACAGCTTATATTTTTAAAGTTGGAGAGCGGAGGTTTGCAAAAATAAAAAATTATGATGCCCAAAATAATTATAATACGCGGACGAAGTCGCTGACATAGCTAGTTATTCATAAAACCTCATACTTCCTAACTTTGTATGTCATTTATTCATACGGGTTTGAACCTTAGAACACGTGATCTACAGTCGAGTTTATTAACAACTAACCGAGGCAGTACGAACGAAAGGAATAACTAATTTTATTACAGGATTTTTTGACTTAAAAAAAAATTTTTCTAATTTAACTTAATTTTTACGTCTACTAACGTACTCTTCCGCTCGTTTGTTTGTTTGAACGCGCTTATCTCAAGAACTACGGATTCTAATTTAATAAATATGTTTGTATTGGTTAAAGCATTTATCGATAAAGGCTATATAACATCGCGCTGCGACTAATAAGGGCAAGGAAACAGTGCGAAATGTGGAAATCTTGTAAAATTAACTTGTAAGAGCGACGGGACGCTCTAAACGGGACGGGCTAAAATTTATCAAAATGAATTTTTAAAACTAAAAACTACGAGTATTATCAACATGTTATTGCACACTATATAAATTAAAAATGGAACATCTATACTAATATATAAAACTGAAGAGTTTGTTTGTTTGAACGCGCTAATCTCAGGTACTACGGGTTCGAATTGAAAAATCCTTTTCGCGTCAGGTATAACATTTATCGAGGAAGGCTATCAATCGCGCTGTGACTAATACGAACGAAGAAGGGGCGACGATAGATAGAGGCGCGACCGACGTTGTAGGTTAAACAGCTTAAGTTTGTAAAGATGAAGGGGTTTAAAAAAACAAATTTGGATGCCCAAAATAACGATTCTCGCGGACGAAGTCGCCGACGTAGCTAGTACATTGATGATTGCGCAAGAGGTCCATGTATCGATAGGTTGAAAAAATTCGACGATGAGGATGCCGGTCAAGTTTTAATTACATGTGAAAAATATTAATCTTTAAGTTATAACTTTGTAATTTCATCTTCAACTACGAGTATTCTACGCAGACGATGTCGCGGCCACGGCTAGTTTGACTAATATATGTCGCGTTTTAAACCGTTAAAAGTGTTTTATTTGTTCGCGTTAAGTTCAGACAATTTAATTCAATTGAATTAATCAGTCCTGTTTCATAACAAGATCATGTTATGATATACTTAATTGTGAGCAGGTACAAGAATGAAATACTGTCTATAGTTTACGCGAGTAGTACACATTTAAATAAAACACTTTAGCGGTTTAAAACGCGATATATTAGTTAAACTTATTTGTAATTGATTGGGGGATAATGAGGGGAGAGTCTCCCCGTGACCACGGCTGCTACAAAGCATCCGAAACGTCGGGCCGAAACTTAACTAATACAAAAACGTCGGGTTTACTTAACTAATATTTCGCTTTTTAAACCGTTGAAGTGTTTTATTTAAAGGTATAAGAATTCTCTCTCGGTGATGAAGGAATGCACGTATTTCTGCTAGACCAATGGAATTTAATAAAGGTGGAATTTGATTCTCATCTGTACCGGTACCTTTCGATGTGATTAAATTCCTATTCTAAGGGTAAAATGCTTTACTAAAAAATCTTTTTCGTAATATTGTGCGATAGGTGTACCAAGGTTCGAATCCTGAAAACATTTCAATGTAGATTTGAGAACTTTATTATTTTTCACATAATGGCACTATATTAATTAAAAATCTATTTATAATCGACCCTGGCCGAGTCGTACATTTTTTTCAATTCATAATGGATTTGTATTTGTTAAATACTTTTATTTTATTACAAAATAAAAAACTACAATTAATTTCAATCTATTTTAGTAAGCACACTTTGTCGTGAATATAAAAAAAAAAACACTTTGTCGTCATTTGTCGTGTGAACATGTCATTCACGTGAACGTTCATGAATTGTAAAAACAGTAAAAGAATAATTTAATGGCGTGACGTTTTGTAACCGCATATGAACTAGTCATACTATGAAAATATATATTAGTATGATATAAATTGAATTTAATTTTCCTATTGGCGTATAGAGGGCTACCTCCCCTGCCCCCTACCCCCCGCCCCAATCTTCACCTCTACCTCTACCCTCTCTCTGCAGTAGGGGAGGGAAGGAGTTTTGAATTGTTTAAATCCTAAACAAAATTCAAATGTCCTGAACTTACATATGCACTAATAATATTAAACGCGCTTATCTCAGAAATTATTGCTTAGAATTGAAAATAATGAATTATAACCGAAATTCAAGGTAACCGAAAATATGTCATAAATAATGATTTATTATAATTATTTATTTATATATAAGATTCTTTTCTATTCTAAAAAATTGTTACCGACGTGTCACTTTAAGAATTACTCGCAAGAACGACGGACGCGGCACCTACGTTGTCGGTAACCGATACAATTATAAGTTAGGAGTTGTTCTTTTTAAATTACCAAAATGTTAAAATATACGCCTTCACGTTTTGACATAGCAAAAGTATATAAACGTGAATAATATCAGTTACATAGATAGGAATTAATTTGTTGACTGACTGTCAGTATGGCTTTCTTCACTTAAGTTTAAGTAACTTTTGCATTGTAAATACTAATAAAACATGAATATGTAAAAACTATAATATATTAGTTAAAAACCTATATTAAACCAGAGGGTTCCATTCGGAAGCTCAATAGTCAAGTAACCCATGGTCGAGGGTTCCAGTCCCTCCTGTGACATCAAACTTTTCGACAATATAAAAATAAGTATGGATTGTTTACGCGAGTAACACGAAACATTGGACCGTAGGTAGTTAAATAAATTGTGAATATTTTCTGTTTAAAACCGTTATTAATTTAGTTTTATTGAAAAATTCTATATAAATTTTATAAGCAAGAAAGAAATAAAATATGACTAATGACATAAAAATTGTCTTAAAAATTAGTTTTACGACTCAAAAACATATTTTCAGATACATTTATTTTATTGTATTTTTGTATTTCAAAAAAAAATTATATGAAAATTATACCGATTCAAGAACATTCTTCACTTGTTGCAGAAGATATGGCCGAACAAGAAAAGGAGCAGGTTCGATGCTCGTCGAGCGAAAGCGATAATTTCGAGAAGATAGACTCTGAAGAAGTCAGAGCAGAGTCTAACGTGAGTTTTTTAATTTACTAAATATGTCATTGGGGAAATCTCCAGTTTCCAATATTATTGCTTATAATATACACACTTAAATATGGTCTATAGTTTACGCGAGTAGTACACATTTAAATAAAACACTTTAACGGTTTAAAACGCGATATATTAGTTAAACTTATTTGAAAACGATTTTTAACACGCCGAAGTTAAAAATCATTTTAACTAATATATCGCGTTTTAAACCGTTAAAGTGTTTTATTCAAATATATACATAATTATAATATGCATATTCATTATAATCAAATACAAAGTAAGATTGTTAACTTGTGTATAATACAAACAATATTTTTTTACAATAGACGAAGATAGGCAGCATGGAGCTAACTTGATGATAAAAGAAATGCCCCGGCCGTATAACATCTACACAAGATTCGCTCTAGACCTATTTTGGATTATATTGGATATTCGGAAATCGACACTGAAACCGAAATGTCATTAAGCTTTACGGTTGTTTTATCTGTGGACGGTGGTTTATGACCTAACGGAATTTCGATATACCACAAATTTCATATCGAGATTTCCAGACGAAGTCCAACATGTTTCACAAAGATTATAAATAGATTAGAAAAGTGTTGCACCTGGTGGGGATCGAATCCACGACCTTTTGATTATTAGCCTTACATTGCGACCATTCGCTAAATAAGTAGTCAAAATACTAGTTAGGGGTTGTCCATTAATCACTGGGATTAAAGGGGGGGGTTTGATAAAAATCACGAAAATAAAAGAAGGGGGTTGTGATATCTTGTATTATTTTTCGTCAAACGCCGATTTTTAAACAATGGTGTAGACATTTTTATTATGGTCCTTAATTTTAGAATATAAGATTAAGTTACCTGTATTTATATTGATATATTAGAAAATTTTAGATTTTTGTAGGTATAAAAATAATTATTTGAAAGGGGTAGGGGGGTGGTCTTAAACCTCACTATATCACCAATGGGGAGGGGGGTTTAAAAATTCTAAAAAAAGTATGATTATGGACAACCCCTTATAAGATTCTATTGTACGACAGGTTAAAATTAAAAAATGACTTGCCCCCTAGGATGAAAATCCCCACTTCGTTATGGGTGACGAAACCCCATCCAGTGACGAGGGTCCGGCAAATGAAGGAGGCGACTTCTTCCCCAATGCACCCCCACCGAATATTCGACGGGTTCTTACTCCGGCGCAACAATTAGCATTAGCGGAGAGGAGGAGTAAATTGAGGTAAGACGGGGCACAACGTTAGTCTAAAGGCTATGTGTTCGACTCCAGGGTACAAACCCGGAACCACGTTAAAAATATTTGAAAAATTAAACTAAAAAAAATCTTTAGTCACCTGTGACCACGGTTACGCTGTAACGCATACATAACGTCGGGTCATAGTTGAACATAAATTAACAAATATATCTACTACGCGTTGTTAACCGATAGATGTTTTATTTAAATAACTTAAATGGATAAAATGAGTAAAATATGTCAAAATGTTATACTAAGTACAAATTTCGTAACTACTACATTATAAATAAATATATTTAATTTTAAGTAAATTTTAAATGATTTTTTTGTTGTGATTATGTAAGAGTCGATTTTGAGGCCAAAACTTCAAAATCAATGGAATTTAAATTACACGTATTTTTGGAATATTTATTAACTTTAATATGCGCGTATTAATTTATTGGCGACGCGGCCGAATCCGGTTTGTGTCGTATTTAAATACTTAAAATTTGTCTAAATCGTTCTTTGACGTAATGCTATGGATTAGTACATAAAAAAAAACATATTTAATTTACTAATGATAATGGTTATACATACTTATAATTTTGTGTATAAAGCAGTTTTAAAAAAATTGCAAGATACGGCGATCGTTACATTAATTTTGTTCTTTAGTAAACCGAGGTTTTTTGTTGAGAACGCGCGCGTCTAGCGTACAAAGTTCGAACTTTGTACGATAAATACATTTGCGCGCGAACAACATTTCTTTAAAATTTTTAGTCTGTGTTTATAAACCTTTGTCAAAAAACACCGTCCTTGGAAATAGTGTTGTTTGCTTATTATCGATAAACGTATTGTATTAATTACTGCTTTCCTATTCTTTTATCGGTTTGTACCTACGATAGATAATATTATTATTATTATAACATACTTTGTTTTCTTCATATGAGAAAAATAGAATTATCATAATAAGGTTAAAGTTAAACTTAAAGTGGATTCAGGCCACGTTGAGTAAGAATTCCTGTCCCTGTATAAAATTAACTGGCTTACCTAGAAGATTGCATAAAAGTAAAATGTTTGAGAAACCAGTTCCATATTGTTATAGTATAAAAGTGCACCGGAGTATTTTTTTTATTTCGTCTCTTTCCTCTTGAGTTTTACTGCTTTATAATATTTGATAGTCATAAATTGTCTAGTTAATTAAGCCTAGATAGAGATTTGGTAACAAAATATGCACTTCTCGTTTTGAAATAAAATTGTGCCACTCCTTGTACCAGTCGTTGTAGAGGTGTATTCCTGATAATTTTAAAGCTCTTATAATGAAAACATTCCATGTTGTAGGTTTTGCTCTAAAGGCTATAACATTCTACTAAATACACATAAATGATTCGAATTATTATATAACTGTTATATTTTCCTTATAACGCCAATATTTAACATATAACAAACCACCAAAAGGAAATATTATGCATAATCCTTAAGGCATTTCCTTATTTGTCTCAAATAATAAAACAGAATAATTACGTCTCTCATTCCCCTAAGGGCAAAGGTATTACATCTAATTTGTATTATGAAATGCAACTTTGATTCAGTAGGATAGACAATTGTAATTAATGATAATGAAGTGGGAATAATTTTTCATATTAAGATACCGGCGCTGATTGCCAGTTTTATTAGCCAAAAAAAAAATTAACACATTACGTTAAAGGTAAGGTTACACTCCCAAGGTTACAATAAGTCATTAATTTGTATTAGGCACTTTTTATACATTATATTCCGAAATATTATATTTCTCTTAAGAGATTGTTCATAAGTTTGTTAGCCTCAACTGCAAAAGCAATATGTATTAAGCCGACCTGAAATTAGCTATCTTAGAATAGTTATCTCACGACCGATTAACCTAACAGCTAATCAAGATCTAAGCTTTAAAAAGTAATACAACAGATCCACCTGTGGTTATGAATGTTGCGTTACGTGGGTGTGTTTTGTTTATTACTGTCACTACTTTAAATGTTACCTAAAAATAAATTTGCAGTCGCACGTGCGCTTTATCTATTATTGTTTATCTCGCATTTTTATATCATTCGACTCACACTGTCGAGTTGGTCGGACGTTTCCTAATTTTCAGTGCATAGTACCCGATCTATTTTTTTATAGTATGTATTTATTTTATGTCTCCTTTAATACCTCAAGGAGGCAAAGTAGATAAATACCTACTTCAGTTTAGTTTTCCTTTTACAGTCAGTGTTTCTTGACGCCTCGAGCAATGTGGACTTTAAAATGAATAAAAGTTAATTATACAACAGTGATGTGTAGTGATATGCTGTATTAAATACGATATTTTTTATGAATTTTGCAACCTCCGATTCTTTTTTGTTTATAACAAATTGTTTGGGAAACGTTTTCACGATGCTCAAGAGGAGAACTTCGAAACGTTTCGTCCTTGGTGATACATCAGCTGATAGCACAAACTACGACGATGAAAACGTAGACATGATACCTAGTGAAATAGTACAGAAATTCCAAATGACTCTACAGACAGAGTCCGACGAAAAAGGTGAAAAGGAGGACCAGAGTCAGGAGCCTGATAAAAAATTGCTACGCTTGCCACGGCCTTCATTAACGTAAGTTGTTTGTAAAGTAACGTAAATTAATGTGATTTTTTTCACTCGAATATAGATAATTTTATTATTCATTAATCCGAATAGAGTTATAGATAAATTAAAGAAATTATCTTATTTTACCACCTTGAAATTAGTAGGCAATAGCTAACTCAAAACTCTAGCTAAGTTTACGTACCAATCATCTTTATTGACAGTGAAATAATATTTACGCTCTATGAACCGGTTTGGAACGTAATTCTATATTGATGGATGTATGTTAGAGTAACTTGGACATTGTCGCATTTTCTTCTATTCCCGTTCTAATGTAATCTTATATCTATTTTCTCATAGTAAGATTGACCACTATCTCTCACGGTATTCGAGACACCTGATAGCAAATTATACACATGGATCTGTAATTCATTGTATGCATATGTGTATTGTAAATATACATATATATATATATAACATTTTTTCTACCTTATTATTTACAATGACAGTAAAATTGCATACTACTAAAACTTTCATTTTTTTTCTTTATATCTCAAAGCGATCCCCAGGACTTCTGAATATTATGTGCAAACTACAAAATTAATTATTTAACAGGTCTAACCAGGATAAAATACAGGAAAGTAACTGGTAATTACATGTCTAATTATGATGTGCGCTTATAATTTACGTGCGTCAAAGCTTATAAAATTATTTGGTGACGACATAGCTTGTAAATAGTACGCACGAATTTAAATGAGTATTAAGACCTTTTGGGAACTTAAATGTCGACAGTTATATGACGACTGACCATGAAGAGCTAAACAATATAATAAGCTTCAGTGCTTGTTACAATTAAAAATTAATCGAAGTTGCTTTTTCAATTATAAAGCTGAGAAGGACCTATTGTAGTATACATTTTTTTTTTTGTTTTATTGAGTTAATAAATTAATAAAAAATCTTACGAATGTTATTGTTTTTCTTGCATTAGATTATTGTTAATTATCGATATAGTAACATATTGACCTCATCTAGGGACATCTCTAACGTAAACAATGCGTCTAGTTTACTTCGAACTTCAAAATCAAATTAAAAACGTCATAGTTATTATCGCCTATCTTACTTACTCCTTAACATAACCGTACGAGTAAGCGAGAAAGTATATCGTATGATCCGTCAATTGAATTTGATTGGTGCGATCAACGTCAACGGAACGTCAAGTATAACAACAAAACTGTTTCATGTATCGGCGAAGAAATGTTGGATTTATGTTGTTTTTATAATTTATTTAATAATATTATTGAGCGTTATTATTAATTTATTGATTAGTCTATAAGACATAAGTGGAAAATGTATCCCGGGATGAACGGATTGTACTCTGAGAGCGCCTACAGGTTAGAAAAATAATTTATAACACGAACATTTTTAATTTTTAAGTTTATTTATCTTGTTAGAACTTCTGAATATAATCTGTGTACATAAACAAAACACCTATCATAACCCTAATTACCTTTAAGAGATAAGATTTTAATAAATGTTAAGAATTTCTCCGTTTTCACTTTTAACTTTCCTTTTCAATGTGTTACGTTAGAAATAACAACTGTGCATGAATTCTAAACTGAATATAAGAAATATTCCGCACTTACATTCTAGTATTTAAGTTATTATTTTAAATTAAATTTCTTTAATTAAATAAACATTTTCCTTAAAGCTACAACTGACCTCTAAGTGAGTGTAAAAGTTGGTCCAAAGTTCATTTTTACGAAAGTAATATCGCAAAAGTAATCGCCAGTAGTTTCATATTTAATAACAACAACAAATTACCTTGAATGAAATTTTAAATTATTAATATTTCTTGCATTTAAATATGCATCTATTTCTTATAAATATGAATATTATAAAGGAATATAGATATAATCTTAATTCTAAACAGTATTATTGCAGTTGTGGATTTAAAATAGTTCATAATTCTATTTTAAATTATTTGGATTTAGACATTGTTAGACATAAATCATACAAATATTCAACAAAGAAGACATTCAACATTAAATTACAGTTAAAAATTATCTCTTACTTTTAGTTCAAACCATATTTGATATGGCTATGAATGCATCCAAGCTGATTGCCAAGAAGTGTAATGATCAAAGATCCCTACAACACCTTTAAAAGATTACAAAGAGTAGCATGAGAAGACATTTAACACGGTATAATGTATATTTATATGGCTGTATTATTGGACCATAAAACCACAAGGACAGCTCGCAGGAATAGCGTAGATAATAAACTTTATAAAGCTAGGTTATTGTGGACTAAGACCGAAGTATTGGCCTTGCACACTTGCCATCAAATGATATGTAATTTCTGTATATTACTATATCTATATGGGGCACATATTTTGTAGTAAAGAGTATCATATTTTTTCAGTCAGTCTTGTAGTCAAAGGTGACAAAAAAGACTCAACTGAAAATGGCACAATGTTTCAGGCGTTTGGTTTATATTTTGATTCAGTGGTAAATTAATGTATTATAAAATTATAAAAACTAAAAAGTTCTTTTATGTCCAATATAGGTTTTCTCAAGCCAATAAAGTTATATTACGTCTAAATATTTATAGATCCTTATAAAGATATGCAAACTACTTACGACTTACACCTTATCATAACAATTAATTCATCATCAGGTGATATTGATGGCCAATCGCATTACTTGAGTAAAGAACTATATTTATCATAATGTTGCTGTCAATAATATCTAACAGCAAATTTGATTGAATGATGTGTTTGTTATCTGTGGTATTTTTTGTGTATGTATGTTGATGGCCTATAAATAATAACCCCTTTAGTAAAATATAGGCTGCAAAAAAAAGGCTACAGATTATCTGTTTAATGAAATTCCTAGTATATTTTGGAAAACCTGATCAGTCTTTATAAACTTTAGGCCATTTTTATATAGAGGACAGACAAGCACGTGGTTCACTCAATGGTAGGTGAAACACTGCAGCTGTATAACATCTCAAGGTGGACTTTCGACCTATATGCCTTTGGATATTTCACCCAAGTCCTTTAAATTTCCTCCAAATTTCCTGTATGGATTAACTTATCCAGGTCTCACTATGTTTCATCAAATCGGCCAGTTCTTTTTACAAAAACATATAAAAAGTAATTTAATTACTAATTTTATTGATACTAAAAATATTTAGTTGTGGCGCAAAACATACATACAGAAGTTTATTTAATTTGATTATTACTTATGCCTAGCAAACTATATTTAGTATTGTCTGTAGTTTCAGGTGTAGAACACACTTAAATAAAACCCTTCTGGTTTAAGATGCGAAATATATTAATTATAAAATGCATTGTTGTTATAAAATGTACCTTATTTTGCATTATAAACCGCTCATGTTTAATTTAAAATGTCTATATCCATGTAACTCCAGAAAGAATCAACTTCTTTCTCATTCTATTGCTTATTTTTATCACCATCTAAATGGTCGGCAATAAGATATTATTAATACAGACATCTTTTTTTGTCTCTATGTGTCTATGAATAATTATCTCTATTGTTTTATATTACGATGTTTTGTAATTGTTTTTATATCTGAGTTATTACTATTAAACAGCTTTAACATTTTATACACAAGTTCTTGGTTATCTAAAACAGAGTCCATTTTATATTGACTTTGAGGAAAATTTTGTGAGATCCCGTTTCGCATTGTGAGTGGTGAGGCAATTATTTCTGTGTTTGTTGTAAATCGATTTTGGCAAGTAGTTTATCCAACTTCTATGCCTCGTCTAACCGAAAAATTCCACGGTATGCGAACCCAGGTCTTGTTGTGCTTAACATTTCGTTATTTTTTAGCATTTAACCACTGAGTTATAGAGGTTCTAATGGACAATCTAGTAATATATACGATATTACACTATGTTTGTAATTGTTTTTCTTTCAGGCCATCTATGTCCCAGGGAACTGTAGTGCACAGCCAACGTTTCCAAGAAAAGGATTTTACTATTGCCACACCCGAAGAGTTTGTCAGGAGGTTCCAAGGCACCAGAGCGATTAATAAAGTATGATTCTTTTAAATTAATATTTATAAAGGTGAAGAGTTTGTTTGAACCCGCTAATCTCAGGAACTACTGGTTCGAATTTCAAAAATTATTTTTGTGTATTGCTTGGTATCGAGGACGACTATAACACATCACGCTGCCACTGATAAAAGGGAAGAAACTGCGCAAAATTGAAGAATAATCTTAAGATTAACTTGCGCGAACGGCGGAACGCGAATCAAATCAACTATTCTTTTGGTCTTTCGATATGAGTTTAGATTTATTTTATTTTATAATTGTCTATGTCCTGTCTCTATTGTCCGTTAGTGGCCTGAAATGGGCACTTCGCTGTATTACCCGTCTGCTTCAATCATATAGGCTTCACCAGAGTTGATATCTAATTATGTTTTTTACCGATCGGCACGTTCAGGAATTGCACAGTAATTTAAATATGCGGATAGCGCCATAGAGAATGTATAATATACATTTTATAAGGCTATCGAAAGGCGGCCATTTTGAAAAGGTTGGATTTTCGAACTGTTAGGCCGTCGTAATTAAGATATTATCGACGTTTCGTCGTCACGAGTGAATGACGTCATTAGATGTTGGGAGGTTCTCGATTCAGCGAAATTTGTACTATATTATTCGTTATTGATAGATACAATACTGATCGGCATATGCAATTGATGTGTGACACCCTCATAGGGCAAAATTGCCTTCAAATAACCGTACCCCTTTTCACAGGTTCTCATAGCCAACAACGGTATTGGTGCTGTAAAATGTATGCGTTCAATACGAAGATGGTCGTACGAGATGTTCAAAAACGAGCGGGCAGTCCGTTTTGTTGTTATGGTGAGTACATTAGCTTTGTCTGTGGTTTGGGCGAACAGTATATGTACATGTTTAGTTCGACATAATTAAATGTACTGATTATTTCAAACTAAAAATGATTCTAATAAAACACTTTAATGGTTTAAAACGCGATATATATTAGTTAAACTTATTTGAAAACTAATTTAATTACGGCCTGACGTTACGGATGCTTGGCAGCAGCCGTGGTCACGGGGAGAATATATAAAAATAAAAATGCTTCAAGTATTAAAACTTTATTCCACCTTCAATTATTTCTTATGCTGAGAAACATGGGCGATAGAACTCTAATACGTATGTGCTAAGGTTGAAATTGCAAGTACCATGGATTTTACAAAGTGGCTTAGTTCGAGATCGTAACAATTAATAAGGATTTCATAAATCTAATCTGCATTCCAGGTGACCCCAGAGGATCTCAAAGCCAACGCGGAGTACATCAAAATGGCGGACCACTACGTCCCGGTGCCGGGTGGTTCGAATAACAATAACTACGCCAATGTGGAGCTGATCGTCGATATTGCGATACGGACCCAAGTTCAGGTTAGTACTGGTGGTATTGATTGCATTGTTGAGGTCTCCAGAGCTAAGCCGTCAGCCCCGGTTATCCATTACTAATCCCTTCCCTGTATAAAGAACAGAATAGCATGGGGTCCCCTTGATTGTAGGTGAAATATCCCAGCCATATAACATCTTAACAAGATGCTCAGTTGACCTATTTTGACTTTGGATATTCGGAAATCCACAAACACATCCGAAACGCGATTTGCAACTTATTGATATATGCTTCTCTCGCGCAATGTAACTTCAACCTTAATTCCTGATTAATTCAATGTCTTGTGCTAATTTTTTTTTAAATACTATCGATTTTTAATTTCTATAGGGTAAAATATATCACAATTTTCATAAGATTTTTGTTACAATATATTTTGTCGCCTGTTATGGTTACACTGCGTTAACTTAGCATCGCTTACGTTAAAGGCGGTATGGGCTGGCTGGGGTCACGCGTCAGAGAACCCGAAACTGCCAGAGCTCCTGCACAGGGCTGGAGTGGTCTTCATAGGACCCCCGGAGAAGGCCATGTGGGCCCTTGGAGACAAAATCGCCTCATCCATTGTGGCGCAGACTGCTGACATTCCGACTTTACCGTGGAGCGGAAGTGGTATGCTTTATGATATACTAGCTAGTTATTTTGGGCGTCAAAATTGTTTTTGCAAACTTCCTTCTCTTTATAAATTATAGTTCTTACCCACGACGTCGTCCGCGTCCCGTCGTTTTTTAATGTTAATCTTGACGACATGTACTGTCGCGGACATGTTTTTAGATAACTTCAAGAGGAATCATTCTTTCATATTGTTTGAGTATCTTTTCAATTCGAACTCGTAGTTCCAGGGAACGATAACATACAAACAAACAAATTCTTCATATATTAGCATAGATAATTTACCAGCTGTACTTTGTTTCTCGCTAATATTTAAGTTCTGATGTTGGCCTATTATAATAATAACCCTAGAAGCCGGCGGGTCCAGTCAAAACTAATCCAATCCCAGAAATAGCCTGAAAAATAAAGGTTATAGTGGTTATTTATACAATCACACTTTCAGCTTTATCAGAGTACATTATAACAGTTATTATAGTATTAAACACGTATAAGTTCAGCAACATTTAAATAAAGATTTATTCATTAAAACCTGAAATATATTAGTTAACTTAAACACTGTAACGGTTTAAATTGCGAAATACATTGCCCGACCTTTCGGATGCTTTGCAGAAATCGTATTTTAAACCGTTAAAACCTTTTTAATGTATACTACTCGCGCAATGTGCAGACGGTATTTATTAGTTAACTATCTAATTTATTTTATCTACCGTCCGACGTTAAAGTTTTATTTAAATGTGCTCAGAATCACTTTGGGTGTGTGTGAATCGATCCTTTATATTAAATTCTCTACTTAAATTCTTGTAGTAAATAAAGTAATATTTATATTTCTTTCAGAGCTAAAAGCGGAGTACAACACTAAAAAGATTAAAATATCTTCGGAACTGTTCGCCCGGGGCTGCGTCTCTACCCCCGAGCAAGGATTACAGGCCGCTACAAAAATCGGTAAGCGAATTGAAATGTCCACTGTCCATAATTTTCCAGGGCCCAGAATGGACATCTAAAAACGTATTTTTGCATTTTTTAACTAACAACACGTGTATATCTATTCTGGATAACGTATATATGATATGAGCATTTCCCCTTTTTTATAATAAAATTCATGTAACTGTTATCTTATATATGATTATCTCTATGATTTTTTTTCAGGTTTCCCCGTGATGATTAAGGCATCTGAAGGTGGTGGTGGTAAAGGTATTAGAAAAGTGGAAAACCCAGATGATTTCAACAACATGTTTCGTCAGGTATTTGTTTTTGTAATCTATACTAATGTATAATGGTGAATAGTTTGTTTGAACGCGCTAATCTCAGGAACTACTGGTTCAAAGTAAAAAAATACTTGAGTGCTCGTTAGAGCATTTATCGAACAATATAACGCTGCGACTAATAGGAGCTAAGAAACAGCGGAAAATGTTAATAAAACTGGAAAAAAAATCGTCATCTTTGTAGGTACCGATGCACTGGTGAAGCTGCGAAAACGGAGACCAAAAAAATATTAAAAAATGGCTACTTTTCTAATCTATATAACTTACGTTGGTACATGTATGAACTTCTATTCGCTCTTAAAGAAGAGAATGGCACAAATCGTTTTTAGTAAATTTTGTCTTAATCAGTATATTATTTAGGTCCAAGCAGAGGTGCCCGGATCTCCCATATTCGTGATGAAGCTAGCGAAATCCGCCCGCCATTTGGAAGTACAGCTCTTGGCAGATCAGTACGGTAATAGCTTAGCTCGCTGATTGTATTGTTTTTGTTGGTACACCTATTATTCCTATCCCCCCCCCCCCAGGTATACACTCCAATCACCACCATACGCTTAAATCAGTTGTAAATTTTATGAAACACAATTTTTGACTTCTGGAAAATCTAGATATTAAATGTGTGGTAGGAATGCCTACATTCCGTTCATGTTACGAACCACCGTCCACAGATGGATAAATCGTAAAGTTTAATTCCTTCGGTTTCACTCTATGGATTCTGAATGTCCAAAGCCAAAAATAGGTCAGTAGCACATTTTGTTGTGTTATATGCTGGGGTAGGCACCTCCCATCAAGTGAACTACATGCTTGTCTGTCTATTTTTGTCATAAAAATATTTTATAGCCAGGTAGCCTATTTTTTAATTTTAGTATATTAAATTGAATGTGCTGTTTATTAATTATATATATTTTTTTAATTTTATATTAACTTTGCTTCGCACATCTTATATACTAATATTATAAATGCGAATGTTACTCTTTCTGTCTGTCCCGCTTTAACTCCGAAACTAATGAACTGAATTACATGAGATTTGGTACACTGATATTTTAGAGTCTCTGAAAGGACATAGGCTTTATTGCCAAAAAAGGGTTGATAGGGTTGAAAAATGGGATGAAAGTTTGTACGGAAATTCGTGGTTTTTGACGCTAGAACAATGAAACTTTCTTCTTTGGCTTTTTTGGAAATAGGAGTGGGAGTGAGTGTAGGAATGAAAGTGGGAGTTAGAGTAGGAGCGATGTGAGGTGAGAGTGTTGCGGCAAAGTAGCACTTACAACATAGATCGGCTGCCCTAAATGCTACCTTATAATAATTAATAAATAGCCTAAATAATTAAAAATTCTACCCCAAGTTCCTATTCCACGCGGACGAAGTTGCGGCTTACACACACAGCTAGTGCGTATATAAATAAATATCATTTCTTCAGGCAATGCCATTTCCCTGTTCGGTCGTGACTGCTCCATCCAACGTAGACATCAGAAGATTATCGAAGAGGCGCCCGCGGCGATCGCTAAGCCGGACGTCTTTATTGAAATGGAAAAGGTTGGTTCTACTTATTGATATTAAATTATAAGGTTATTACCATGTTTGTCACTCTTCAGTATGATTATAATAACGGGAAGACTTAAATTAGGCATAATAATCTATACTAATATTATAAAGCTAGCTTGTTAAATAGCTTATAATAGCTTGTTTGTTTGAACGCGCTGATCTCGGGTACGAATTGTTTTTTTTTTTGTGTTGGTTAAAGCATTTATCAAGGAAATCTTTAAGATGTAAAATATGATGACCAATAGGAGCGAAGGAACATTGGGAAATGTGGAAAAATGGGGAAATGTGGAAAAATGGGGAAACGTGGAAAAATGGGGAACGTGAATTAAGCGCTTCCGTTGTTTGCGCTGCGAAAGCGGTATACCCAATAAATATGTATAAACAAATTATTTTTCTTTAAAATGTCTATCTTTAAGAATAACTTGCTAGAACGACTGGCCTGGTAAAAGTATACTATATACTAAGTTAACTTCAAGGCGAGTTTGCAAAGCTTAGAAGTTTTTCTGTTCAGCTGTCGTAATTGAGAAATGGTTTACGACTGTTTTTCATCTCTAATTCTATTCTGAGTGAAGACTAGCTTTTTCTTTGAGACAAGTATTTTTATTAGTAACGAAGATTAACATCATATTTGTATAATTGTTTATTTGAAAGTCAAAGAATTGAATATAAAGATTTAAGTGTCGAGTTTTTTTTATAGGCTGCGGTTCGTCTAGCCAAGATGGTCGGTTACGTAAGCGCTGGTACTGTAGAGTACCTCTACGACCCAGCAACGGGACAATATTACTTCCTCGAGCTGAACCCTCGTCTCCAAGTGGAACATCCTTGCACGGAGATGGTCGCTGATGTCAATCTACCCGCTGCACAGTTGCAGGTAAACATTAAGACAGTGGTTACGATGCTTAGTCTAAGTTTTATGGCATATAAAGATTCGTCATTAAAACAAAAAAAAATATTTTAGTAGTATGGCCTATAATTAATGCGAGTTGTAAACAATAAACGCAATTTATCGTTCAATCAATGTTTAACCTAATACTCGACATTTCAGATGTTTAAATAAAACACTTTAACGGTTTAAAACGCGATATATTAGTTAAACTTATTTGTAAATGTTTTTAACTTCGTCGTCTCCCCGTGACCACGCCTGCTGCAAAGCATCCGAAACGTCGGGCCGCAGTTAAAAATCATTTTCGAATAAATTTAACTAATATATCGCATTTTAAATGTCCTAAACTATAGAAGTATTTAATGTTTTTATTATTGCAGCATTTAACGTATTTTTCAGATTATGGCCACGAAATTTCGTTACTTAAAAATGAGTATATAAGATACGATATCGCATCTTAAGTGGGATCTTAATGATTTTTCTCCAAACAGATTGCTATGGGTCTTCCCCTCTACAACATAAAGGATATTCGTCTGCTCTACGGGGAATCTCCATGGGGTATGTCAGACATTAACTTCGACGAGCCCGTTCAAAGACCTTCTCCGTGGGGACACGTCATTGCTGCCAGGATCACTTCAGAGAATCCGGATGAAGGTAAAAACCTCATGTATATAATTTTTTAAATGATTTTCCTCCCAATGGATTTTTTTCATTATTATAATTAGTAAATTTCGCTCTTCTTGCATTTTATAAATACTCTATATAACTATTCTTGCAAATAAATAAATAATTGTCTCATTAAAAAAAAATGAAAAAAATTATAATTATTAACTTTTTTTATGTGTTATTTGTACACAATGTTAATAACTATTTTCTTTAATATAGGTTTTAAACCGTCTTCGGGTACCGTCCAAGAGTTGAACTTCAGGTCTTCGAAGAACGTGTGGGGCTACTTCAGCGTGGCCGCCTCGGGAGGGCTTCACGAGTTCGCTGATTCGCAGTTCGGTCACTGCTTTTCTTGGGGAGAAACGAGGGAGCAGGCGAGAGAGTGAGTTTTTTGCTAAAAGTATAAAATAATTCTTTACTGTTTGAAAACCGTTTTTATATTTTTTATTTTATTCCATACCACACCAGTTTTCTAATCGATTTATATATATATAATATATTTATATATTAAGGCTATAAAATAATAAACTTTCTAAGTGTTGATCTAAAAATCATTATTTTTACAGGAACTTGGTAATAGCTCTCAAAGAGCTGAGCATCCGCGGTGACTTCCGGACTACGGTGGAATATCTCATCACTTTATTGGAGACTCCAGCATTCCAGGATAACAACATTGATACAGCTTGGCTTGACGCTTTAATCGCTGAACGGGTTAGTTCAGTTTCTTTGTTCTATCATTTCTAAGTATTATCTGTAGTAATGAGAACAGAACAATTGTAAATTAACCACTGAACGGTTTAAAACGCGATATATATTAGTAAGTTTATTTTTGAACTTAGTCACAGAGTTTAGATAGATTTTCTTCTTTCAGAAACTTTATGTACCAAATAAGTTTTAAAAGATTTAGGCACTCAAAATTATGATATTTCAATTCAGGTCCAATCAGAAAAGCCGGATGTAATGTTGGGTGTTCTCTGTGGTTCCATTCTCATAGCAGACAGCATCATCACCACTCACTTCCAGGAGTTCAAGAGCGCTTTGGAGAAGTGAGTTTATAATCCGTATGATTTAGTGACTAGGAAAAAACATTTTTATATATTCTACATATGGACTAGTGATCAGGACTTGTCTTGACCCAAACACACTATGGGCCCGGAATTTCAGACTAGAGCTGGAAGTTTAAAAAAAATGTATATTTATTTATACATAATTACTTTTTTATTTAAAATGTACCTAACTTCATTTATTTACAAGTATTGTCCTGTAGTTTATACTAGCAGTACACATTAAATAGAATACTCTAAACGGTTTTAAATGCGAAATATAACTTACCTAACTAATACTAACTTACATATTTACGTTTGAAACCGTTAAAATTGTTTTATTTAAGTGAATTTATCGTCTTATTGTTTTTCTGTTAGTCTCGTTTAGCCTTAAATAATTGAATTTTACTGTGTTTTGAACTTACATAAATGTTAATTTTTCCAGGGGACAAATCCAAAGTGCCAGTCAGCTATCGAACACAGTGGAGGTGGAATTGATTCACGGTGGATACAAGTACAAGGTCCAAGCGACAAGATCCGGGCTGACCAGCTATTTTTTGGCTATGAACGGCAGCTTCAAAGAGCTGGAAGTCCATAAATTGGCTGATGGAGGTATGTACCAATGTGTAGCAGAAATTATAGACAGACTCTAAGACTAGACAAAAGTCTAATGCAAAAAATAACGCTTTATCTCTGTAGGCCATGGGGCGAATACATTTTTGTATCACTGATAGATTTTATTTATAGGCATGTGTTTTATTCCACTTATTCAGTGCTTTGTGTGACCGAAAATATGTATTGTTACTCCGGGCTTCGAACCCAGGAACTCTCATGCTATACACAATACCAGGCAACGAATTTAAACGTTTAAAGTTACGGAGGTTGTCAAAAGAGACTTTTATATGAATAGAACTCGACTTACTAGTAATACACATTTATATAAAGCAATGTTAACGGTTTAAAACCCAAATATATATTTACTTTTTAAGAACAGACCAGTGATTTAATACTTTCACGTTATTTTCTTTATAAGATCAGTATATTTTACGTTTGAAACCGTTAAAACTGTTTGTTGAAGACAAAATTCATCTCTCTTAGGTACCCTTCTTTCCGTCGACGGCGCGTCCTACACAAGTTATTTGAAAGAAGAAGTCGATAAATACCGTATCGTTATCGGAAACCAGACCGTCGTGTTTGAAAAGGAGAAAGACCCGTCGAAGCTTCGAGCGCCCTCTGCGGGGAAACTTATTAACTGCTTGGTCGACGATGGTGGTCACGTAGACAAAGGACAGCCGTACGCTGAAATTGAGGTAATTACTACGACAGAGGAGGGACGTGTATGGGATTTAATTCATGCAAGGTGAAATACCTCATTTGTATAGCTAAATCCCGTTTCCCCCCTGGGAGGACGGGGGGGGGGCAAATCTCTCTGTCCGTTTCACTGATCTTGTTGATACTTGATCAGATTTCTGTTCTCTGCCCAACCAACATAACATTTTGCTTGAGATTTGAATCCATTACTAAACCCAATGATATGCAACACGTTTAACCATTTGGCATAACAGAAGCTGTCTCAACTGTATAACATCTAAATAATGCACGGTCGACCTATTTTGGCTTTGGATATTTGGAAATCCACAGACTGCATATTTACTTCAAGATTTAAAAAAATGGGAGCATTAAACCACTTAGAAGAAAACGCCAAAGACATTTAATGCGTTTACATTGTGTTTTCATGAATAAAGTAACAACTTAAGTCTTTTAAAAGATTTTGAGTATTGAAAAACTCGATGAAACGGGCACGATACGAACCTACGACCAGTCCTTTTTGCTACTGCTCTACCAACTGTTTCTTTAATGGGTATTAGAATAAAATAAATAAAATAAAATATACTTTATTCCCTTTGAAATTGTCAAAATTATTTAGATTCGTCAAAATATTTTTTGTTTGTCTCTCTGTTCGTCCTGATTCTACAGAGTGTTCAAAGTTCAACATAACTGAGAAGAACAACACAAGAAACTCTGTCCGGCGTTTTTTAAGATGTCTTATAAACTAATACATTGTGAAGATTTATTAACCTAAGGGGCAATTCATATTACTGCCAGGCGGTCGTGACATTAAAGAAATCGTTCAGACAATACGCCTTTTGAGACAATCAAAATTTTATAACTTTTTTAAACTTATTTATCGATAAATTTGAGACCCACTGGAAATGGATTAAGATACAATTTCCCCGCAAATGAAAATTTATGGAGACTGCTATAGTTTACAGTTAAATAAAACGCTTAACGGTTAAAACGCGTATCTAGTAACTTATTTCAAAAGTTTAAGACTTTCGGATGCCAACATCCGTGTCATTTAAAAAAAAAAAAAAGAGTTTTATTTAAAAAAATTGGGGGGTTTATTTTTGGGGGGAGCTAGGCTATCCTTTTTTTGTAAGTAGACACACGTCTATTCAATTATATAAGACAATTATCTTAAATTCTAATTCGTCCGTCTTGTAGGTGATGAAAATGGTGATGACACTGTCTGCACCTGAAGCCGGTAAAGTGTCGTGGTGTTTGAGACCTGGAGCTGTCCTAGATCAGGGAACGCTCATGGGCACATTGGGTACGTTTTGCCCACATTCATTATTGCCTTAAAAATCTACAGTCAATTTGTGTTACAGTCTTGGCCCTTGGATAAGATTGAGCTTTATTTCTTTGCAATTAATTCTTCCTTCTACCTTATATAGTGGGGCATGGGCCCATCACATTTCTGTGTCCGTTTCGCTGATCGGCTTTATTTACTGACAAGTAGCTGATCATGCTTCTGTGCCCAGGCCGTCTTAAATTTCAGTTTGTTCGTTTTTCGGAATTCGAACCCGAGACAACTCGCGCTTAACAATGCTAGGTAACACGTAACCATTTTGCTACACACACAGTCACAGTGCGGTACGGAACTTGAATAATAATGTATTATATAACAAGTTTTTTATCGGTGTCAAAGAACACCTAAAATTACAATATGAAAAATGCTCGGGCGCAAGTCCGACGCGCACTTAGCCGACTTTATAATAATGTAAGTATTATTTTTTATCTAGAACTAGACGACCCGTCGCTAGTGACAACGGCGCAACCGTACAAGGGCCAGTTCCCGTTGGCGGATAACACGACGGTATCCGATAAATTGAATCACGCGCACAACAAATACAAAACTATCTTGGAGAATACTTTGGCCGGTAAGTTGTAGTAGTATTGTTTACATTGTATATAATGGTAAAGATCTGGACCAGTCTACTGTAATTTCATCCTATTTATGTCCCACTGCTGGGATAAGATCTCGCAACGGAAAAATCCTTCCTTATAACTATTGTAGTATTTTCTGTAGTTTAAGCGAGTAGGACACATTTAAATAATACACTTTTGACGTTTAAAACGTGGAATATATTATAAAATGGCCGGTCCCCTCGCGACCCCGGCTGCTGCAAAGCAACCGAAACGTCGGGCCATAGTTAAAACGAATTGTAAATAAGTCAACTAATATATTTCGCGTTCTAAGTAAAGGCTTTTAACTAACTGTTTTATTTAATCTACTACTCGCGTTATTTACTCTAAACTTCCTTAATATTGACATTACCGCAACGGAAGCTTTGTAAAGTGAGTGAAAGATTCATTTATACGGCAGTGAGGGCTGAAAATAGTTTCTTGCTAGAAAATATAGATGGCGACGTCCGCAACGATCTTTATTCCAGTTCTCGAAAAAGTCTTTCAAAGAAGAGAAGATCTGCCAAGAAACTCGCCGCTACTCTTTGTTTTTTTATTAGAGCTTACGATTGAATATATTTTTAGGTTTTTGCCTGCCCGACCCCTACAATACTCCAAGATTAAGAGAAGTCGTGGAAAAGTTCATGCAGAGTTTGCGAGACCCGTCCTTGCCACTTCTGGAGTTGCAAGAGGTAATTTGACTTTAACAAATTGAGTTTAATTGGCGCGGGCGCATGTGTTGTGTGAAAGTTGGCTGTGTGTGAAATCCACACACACACCCCACCCCTCCCCCATACGTTAGATATGGAACGGGTTCATTTCTAGGTTCATTGTATTTTCCTTGGTATTCGAACTTAGGACTTCTATTGAATCAGTCTTTAAATATTTTAACTGTTACGGATGACGTTTTATATGAGCATTATAATCCTTTTCTCTTTTAGGTATTATCATCCACCTCTGGTAGAATACCGCTATCAGTAGAGAAGAAAGTACGGAAACTAATGGCGTTATACGAAAGGAACATCACTAGTGTACTTGCGCAGTTCCCGAGTCAACAGATAGCGAGTGTTATCGACCAGTAAGTAAAACATTGTTAAACATAATACAGGCAAAAACAGGCAAGAAACACTTGTGGTGTTCTCTGTTCTTCCCAGATCAGACTACATCCTATGTTAATAGTATTATGCTAATCCAATTGATTTAGACTTTAAAACATATAAGTATATTAAAATAAAATGAATAACATTTATTGGATAGATAAATGGAGGTTTGAATAAAATAAATTAAGGCTTTTAAAAGGTGTTAAAGCATCCGAAACGTCGGGCCGTAGTTGAAAACAATTTTCAAACAAGTTTAACTAAAAGATATCGCGTTTTAAACCGTTAAAATGTTTCATTTAAATGTCTACTACTCGCGTAAACTACAGACAGTAGGTAAATGGATAGTGAACTAAAATAGGAAAATAACATTTTTTTCGTGCGCCGTTTACTTTTTACGTCAGTGTTTATCAAAAACAGTTCATCGGTTTAGGCTTAAAGGAATATCTGACATCCATTCTACAAACTAATAGTGATTAGGATATTATTAAACAGAAATACTATAAGTTATCTTAAACATTGATAACTAAAGTAAAACGTTATTTCATCTTTAATGATCCAAGCTAGAAGGCTAAGACAATTTGACCTCAGTAAAGTGTTAAGGTCGAAATTACATTGCGTGAACCTACATGTATCAAAGTTGAAAAATTCGACGAAGACTTGTGATCATTAGTTAAAGCAGCAGCACGGAACGTTACGGATGGTTCGAGTCACGCCCGAGTCGTATTTCTTTTTGTATATAAGATAGGCCATTTTGTAAGCTATTTGGGTTTTCGAGTCGAGTCAAGTAACTGATGAGATCCTCTGCTCATGATGACGAACTATTTCTCAAATAGCTCGACATAATATGTATGTATGTGTGTTTGTCCACAGTCATGCCGCGTCCCTTACCAAGCGGTCAGATCGCGATGTGTTCTTCATGAGTACGCAAGCCCTGGTCGTCCTTGTACAGAGATATAGGTAAGTTTGTATATTGAATTACTATGTCTAATAATAACAGCAGGCAGTAGATTCGATTCCCACCGGGTCCAACATTTTCCCTTCCCTATTATAGATAAAAAATCTAAGTCAACATATGTTTCAAGTACATACATATATATTTAGCTTTTGTAGTATCTTAGATACTTAACCAAGGAGAGACGGTATTGCACACTATCACAGTGTTTTGTAATTTTTGTTCATAAACGGCTTAAAATACGATGTATTCACTAAAGGGTTTCGTTTGACATTCTTTATTTAATACTATAGTGATAGTATTTATGTTTTTGTTCGACAGAAATGGTATTCGCGGTCGCATGAAGGCAGCTGTCCACGACCTCTTGAAGCAATACCATCAGGTCGAGACCAACTTCCAACTCGGTGAGTGGTGTTTGATGGGCGTAATCTGATTACAGTCTTTTTTTTAAATTCTGACTAATGTCATAGTGGTGCTAAGAAATAAGGAATAATCTTTAAATTTTACCACAAATCTGCTGAATAGGTTTAAATAAACACACTTTTAACGACTTTAAACACAAAATATATTTGTTAACTTTGAAATAAGCGACAATCAAATTTTGCGTTTTAAACCGTTAAAATTGTTTATATTTAAATGTGTACTGATTGCGTAAACTATCTAACTACAGACAATAGTTTTCGAAGTTTTTTTTTTCTAAAGAATAACAAAGCATCACTTATCTACATAATATTTGGTCTATGTCTGTAAAGTCTCGGGGTCGACACTAGGGAAACAGCAAAATGTTTCGGTACATTAGGGTAAAGAAGTCTAAACAACTACTTTCATATATTATTTATTTGTTGTTATTTTTGTTAATGTCTCATAAATTTATTATAAAGGCTCATACGACAAGAACGTGATGGCGCTTCGCGATCGATACAAGGACGATATGCAAGCTGTGGCCAATATGATTTTCTCACACAATCAAGTCTCTAAGAAAAATCTTCTGGTAAGAACATCTCCCCCTTTTTCACTTATTCCTCCTTATTATATTGTATCATTAGCTTAGGAGCGATATAAAAGTAGGAAACACAAAGGGAATTAGGTAGAATTCAAATTGAAAATACACGTTGTTAATTTAATTATAGTTTGTTAGTGTAATTAAATCCTAACCCAAGCATACAAAGTTAAACTTTTATAAATGGCGTATATAATTTAAATATTCCAATAAACCAGAATTAAAAAAAATAGTATTTTCATTATCAATCATCGGAAAAGTATAAATCACAAAGATTTTACAAAGTTACTAGTTACGCGAGTAGTACTCATTTAAATAAAACACTTTAACGGTTTAAAACGCGATATATATTATTTAAAGTTATTTGAAAAATATTTTTAACCACGTCCCGACGTGTCGTATGCTTTAAAGTGTTTTATTTAAAAGGTACTAGAGTTTGTTTGGTTAGTCTTAAATTAGTCGAGAAACTCAACGCGAAAGGACGAGAACAATTTCTCAATTACGACGGCCTAACCTCTCGATAATTCTATATAATATTCTCATAATCTTTCAAATTTCTGTCATCTCGTATAGTCTTGCAAGTAACTAATATGTATTTATTTGTAGGTGACGATGTTAATAGACCATTTGTGGTCCAATGAGCCGGGTCTAACCGACGAACTAGCTGCGACCCTGAACGAGCTGACGTCACTACACCGAGCCGAACATAGCCGAGTGGCGCTGAGAGCGAGACAGGTATATCTTTTAAATATTACATTAGTTTATAATGTTCTACGTTGTTAGACTTATATAAATATATAACGGTCTATATGTAATAGATATTTCTTTAACTCTGTGTCATTTGTGGCAACGACTACACTCTATAAAAGGGCATCACTAGTTCTCTATGGTTTAAAATCGGCCATATTTGTTGTGGTCTTTTGCCAAGTTAGAAAATATAGACCATAAACCTGTTGCTTGCCCGAGCATAACTTTACGCTTTAGTTAGACAGGTTTTGTGTCTATTTGGTTAAGTAATTAGGTCCTTTGCCTGGCAAAAAGGAGCATTTATGAGATTAGAACTTTACATTTAATAAAAAAATTGAGTTTATAAACACCAAATCCTCTCTGAAAGTCCTTTATGATCCCCCTTAGGACTAAAATTTATTTATTAAAGCAAATAAAAATAAATAAAATATAATACATTACAAGTTGGTTCTGAAAAGGACTCCACTTAGCCTTGGGACTAAAGGCAACCCTTCTTTGACCCTTTAATGTACATAGTTGATAGTATTCCTGATGATTTCTGCCCGGCCGAAATAATTAATTAATGGTAGCCCAGGACCTCGTTCTTCCATTTTAATAACTCTTTAATATCCCTGTCCAGGTGTTAATAGCAGCTCACCAGCCAGCCTACGAGCTCCGTCACAACCAGATGGAGTCCATATTCCTATCGGCCGTGGATATGTACGGCCACGACTTCCACCCGGAGAACCTGCAGAAGCTCATCCTCTCCGAGACATCCATTTTTGATATACTGCACGATTTCTTCTACCATACTAATGCAGCGGTGAGTAAATATTATGTGTTTTAGAAGAATAGCAAATTGCTTAGCTTGAAATATATTTTTTATCTTGTTCTATACTAGCTGTGCCAGCGACTTCGTTTGCGTAGAATACCTATTTTGGGCGTCAAAATTTGTGTTTGCAAAGTTCCTTCTGATCTCTATAAATTTTAATTGTTACTTTCTAGGTCGGTCGCGCCCCGTCGTCTTGTATAATCTTAAAAGATAAACATATACAGTCGCCGACATTTTTTTGATTACTTAAAGAGGAATAATTCTTTCATACATATTGTTTGGTATCTTGAACTGTTTTCGCGGCGCACGCAAACTCTCAAAGATTTCAAGAAGAGATTTCACATCTCCCACTATTTCTTAGCTCGTCAATTTTAACCAGTAGTTCGCTAGTAACCAACCATCTTGTTTAGAATAATATTAAAACAGAACAGAGAACAACAGACAGAATTATGTCATTGTCATCGAAAAATAGCGTGTATTATGAAACTTGAAAGCAAGTACTTAGCAAGTATAGGCTTAGAATAAAATTCTAAGATCGTAATAGAGTATACATTGAGTACGATGTTTGTAGGATCTGCAACAAAAATGTTTTAAAAGTAAAGTAATTTTAAATACAATTTAACGGTCTAAAATTTTAACTTTATTATTTCAATTAAATAAAACCTGAATACGATTCGAAGTAAGCGCAGCCACGTGGATGTAGTTGTCCCTAACATGAAACCAAAAATATGTCGACAATGCACCTCGTTTAAATGTTACTTGGGTGGCGTATTTTATTTTCCATCCATTAAGTGAACTTCGTCACGGCTTTGTCATCTGTGTCGTGACCCGGACGGAATTTCGTTATTCCTACCACCAATTTAATATCCGGATTTCCGAAATCCAACATTCTTCAGAAAACATTATAAATGGATTATAAACTTGTTGGACCCGGCATGGCTCGAATCTACGACCCGTTGATTATTACCCATAAATTGCTACCGTTAAACCAAAGAGGCCATCCAAATAAACTCTTACCGAAACGAAGAGATCCATGTCAAATATAAGCATGTTAAACGCGGTTATCTCCAAAGGGACTTGCGCCCTCGCTATCATAAAACTAACCATTTTTCTAATAGATATTACATCGACGTCCTCCCAACCGGCGCAGTAAATTAATGTCGCAGTTTGTAGTGACTGTGACAAGGAAAATTCTTCTATATAAATCACAGCGTGTAAGAAGCACTGTCGATAAATAAGGTTATATTTGTATGTATAACAAAACTTGGAAAGGGTTATTATAACGTAATCAATATTTACACGGTAAACATATTTGGGGTTTGAACGAACCCGTTCTAACAAAAACGTGGACACTGTAAAATGAAACTTGGCGATAAACAAGGTGGCGGCGAGTTTCTTGCCAGTTCTTCTCGTTCGTTCTACGCTTTTGTTTTGAGAACTGGTAGTAAATGTAAATTTAGAATCTTTAGTTTAACTTGTTGTACATACCTACAACTTAAATTAAAACACTTCCGACGGTTTAAAATGCGAAATATATTAGGTAACTTTTCAATTTAACTACGTCGCGAAACATCATGCATTGCAGCGGCCGTGGTCACGAAGTACTGAAGATGAACGGTGTCCATAATGTCAAAATCGAATACTAAAAAGGGCACTAATATATTTCGCGTTTTAAACCGTTAAAAGTGTAGGTCTTAGATTATTTATTCAAAGCTCCGTGAGGAGCAAAATTAATAACCTCTGTAATACCTTAATATCTGCAAAATGTAACCTGTATGCAGTATACATATGTTTGTTCTTAAATCGCACTTACCATGTATTGAAGCTTACTCGAATAACGACAAGGTAGATAAATGTGCACGATTGTACCGAGAATAAATATTAGATAACGCAAATCCATTCCAAAACCCTGAAATAAAAACAAAACTCTTTTTTATGATAAGGAGGACAGATGAGGAGAGATGAGCGTGGAGTTCGCCTCATGGAAGATGAAATACGCCAGCCGTATAACATCTAAACAAGATGCGTTATCGACCCATTTTGGCTTTTGATCGATTGTTTTTAAATCTCACCTCTGTTATCTGGTACATGCAGTTGCAAATTTGAATCATTGTCGCGATCAATATTATTCCCAGCCAGATATTGAACGTCTCTTGAATTAGCTCCACATACCTTAGTGGACGAAATCAATTAAGTGAACATTATGAGTAGTAAATATAAAAAATGTATTTTTAACGGATTAAAACGCGAAATGTGTTCGTCAACTTATATGTAACTACGTAGCAGTTAAAAATAATTCAATTATTTTTAACTACAGTTAAAATAATTCAATTATTTTTTGCGTTAAACAACCAAGAAATTTTTATTTATTAACATTTTTTAATAAAAACTCTTATACGCGTACAATTATATTGTGTTTATTGTTCACGAAATGGGAAACAAATAATAAAATGTTAACTTACATTTCGCGTTTTAAACCGTTAAAGTATTTTATTTAAACTCTGCTCGTTTTATCACGGTGTAAAACATACGTTGGGTAAAAATAAATTACTAGTAAGACCCAACGGGCTGGATGCCCAGATCTTTCCGCAACCTAACTTATACAGTTCGCGTTTTGTTGTTTTAGTCTAAAAACGCATTCGGCCCAGCCCTCTTTAACGTTCGTACTGGTGGAATTTTTGAGATGTAACATTCGAAAATGTTAATTAAAAATTACGCAAGCTGAACTCTATCAATCAAATACTTGGTACCACGTACAACGTCAACTTACTTAAACAATCGGTTCTGCTCCAATATAACACCAACAATCTTCCTCTGCATTTCATCTTGCTTCTTCTCCTTAAGAGCTTCCTGGAAGAGCTTGCAATATAACTCCATCTTCAAGCAAGCGTGATTAATTGTAAGACCAAAAAACCCGTCGTATCCAGTAAAGTTTATAACATATATTATAGCGCAGTAGAACATATAGACAAACATAATTTCGAAGTATGGGGACTCGAAGCGATCCTCTGGTTCACTGAATGGTTTCCTTAGGTCATGGATCATATATTTCGTCGGGTCAGATTTAAATGTAAAGTTGTACACGTTCAGGACGACCGCCATGATAGGAAAAGTCATTACGCAAAATGATACAGTTATAGCCCACGCCATTTCGCTGTACTTGAGGTTGTTTTCGATGCTAGCATCGATTATTTCGTGATATGAACCCGCCATCGAGTTGAATAATCGATAGTCGCGGTCGATTTCTTTGATTATCCGAGCTGCCGTGTCCTTAGAGTAGTGAAATATTATTAGCTGGAAAAATAACGATATGAAGTTATGTACGTATACATATATAGATATATAGCCTAGACCGAGTACCTTCAAGAAGCCTCCAAGAAACGGCCCAATAATAGTACAGTGGCGTATGATCGTTATAAAATCCCGTGCCAACAGTGATTTGTACATGTCTATGAATATAAATGTAGTCATCGGCGCAACAGACAGAAGTACCATAACTGAAAAATTTTGGTCCTTGAAGCCGGATAATGGCGGATAAAGTCGTTATAAATATACGATGTGAAGTTTCACTATTAACAAATTTAAATATTGTCTATAAAATCGGTGAGAGAAGCTGTAACCTATTTTAATGAAATTATTTTTGCTAATTAATTTGGCGGGTTTAGGCGGGTAGGAATGTATGGTTAATGATTAACGGGCTGTGGAGTCTATTCCCACCGTGTTCGTGCATTCTAAAAATACAAAGCTGTAAAATGTTAGTTCCAGTTTAATCTGCTGATTTCCCAGTGTTCAAAGCTAAAATAGCACATCTCGCTTAGATGTATGTCTGTCTGCGTATCACGTATCAAATAAAGCCATTGCTTGTCCGCCCTCCTGTGTCATGAAAAATATATTTATTACTAACATACAACAACCATCCGAATGCTGTTTTGTTGTGGATTCGGGTGCACAAATCCGACGACCATCATAAAAGTTATTATTTTATACGTCTTCGCAAACGAGGTGTACTTATGACTATCCTTCGCTGTAATTCAAAATTGACATTCTCTAAAATAAGTCTTGCATTTCATTAAACACAAACGATCATGGCTTAAAAACTTTGTTTGATAAATTGTTTCGATCGGGCAGAGCACAGAAGTACAACTATTTGTATGTTAATAAAATCGATCACAAAAACGGACACAGAAGTATATACCCACAGATGGATACGTGACATCACTAGAACTATACACACTTGAATAACGAATTAAAATAAATATATTTAAAACGTACATTTTATTTCTACCATATTTTGTTAAGCCTCCAAACTTAACCTATTTGTATTATAGAATATCTGTATGGACTGAAACGCAAGCTCAGAACAAAATAAAACGATGTGAAACAATTTTCGAAATTACGAGTAATTTTTCTAACGTCAAGTGCAATTGTTAATAGTATATTATTTTAAATAAGCTCATTACTCGAACAAGATTGGATCTAATTATGTCGTAATTTTAAATATAATCGCATTATAATGCTCTGGAAATAAAAAAAATCCTATCCACTTAATTTATAAGTCTTTTATCGATTTAAGACGCGAAAAGAATTCGTAAATTTATTTTTACTAAATTTATTCATTACACAATTTTTTGCAATTATTACAAGCATATATTAGGAACTTGCAGCTTTTAATACACATTTTCCTAACAGTTGCTAACACAAAACGATATGCTATTGTCCACCAGTATAGCTAATTGGTTAAACGTGTTGCGCTAAGCGAGATTTCCTGGGTTAATCGGAAAAGAATTGAGTTCGAATCCCGGGGAAACAGTAAAATTGTTTAAAAAAACCGGTCAGTGCAACGGGCACAGAAATGTGTTCGCCCCGTTTCCCCACGTGGGGCAACCACGGGATTGCAGTATGCTATTGTATTGTAAAATGTACAACAATAAAATCTATTTAGTATAAAATACTTCGTTGAAAATTAAATATATTCGAACACACGACTGTTCCGTGCACATAGCAGTACTCCCAGGTTTTAACTATTTTTTTCATCTAAATGAAATTTGAATTTATATCTCGTTAATATAAATACAAGTACATTTAGGTACTAGTAACAAGTAGCCTCTACAGCGTAGAGCTATCCTAATTTCTTCCATTCTGTATTCAGGATTTGAATTATATTTAATGCTTATTTCAAAGGTCTGTAACGCATCTTTGGAGGTTTACGTGCGTCGAGCATACACATCCTATGACATCACGTGTCTGCAACACCTGGCGTTATCTGGCGAGCTGGGCGTGGTTCATTTTCAATTTGTACTGCCCACAGGACACCCTAACAGGTTAGACCATCGAATATAAATAAATAAAGATTTACTTCTCTCCTATTGTTAAAATACAAAAAATAAATGCGAAGTTTTAAGGGGCTTTTTTTTTTTTTTTTTTTTTTGGGGGGGCCCCCCCCCCCCCCCCCCCCGCGGGGGGGGGGGGGGGGGGGGGGGGGGGGGGCCCCCCCCCCCCCCCCCCCCCCCCCCCCCCCCCCCCCCCCCCCCCGGGGGGGGGGGGGGGGGGGGGCCCCCCCCCCCCCCCCCCCCCCCCCCCCCCCCCCCCCCCCCCCCCCCCCCCCCCCCCCCCCCCCCCCCCCCCCCCCGGGGCCCCCCCCCCCCCCCCCCCCCCCCCCGCCGCCCGGCCCCGCGCCCGCCCCCCCCCCCCCCCCCCCCCCCCCCCCCCCCCGCGGGGGGGGGGGGGGGGGGGGGGGGCGCCCCCCCCCCCCCCCCCCCCCCCCCCCCCCCCCCCGGGGGGGGGGGGGGGGGGGGCGGGGCCCCCCCCCCCCCCCCCCCCCCCCCCCCCCCCCCCCCCCCCCCCCCCGGGGGGGGGGGGGGGGGGGGGGGGGGGGGGGGGGAAAAAAACACCCCCCCCGCGGGGGGGGGGGGGGGCCCCCCCCCCCCCGGAAAAAAATTTAAAAAAAAAAAAAAATTTGGGGGGGGGGGGGGGGGGGGGGGGGGGAAAAAAAAAAAAAAATTTTTTTTTTAAAAAAAAAAAAAAAAATTAAAAAAAAAAAAAACACCCCCGCGGAAAAAAAAAGGGGGGGAAAAAAAAAAAAAAAAAAAAAAAAAAAAAAAAAAAAAAAAAAAAAAAAAAAAAAAAAAAAGGGGGGGAAAAAAAAAGGGGGGGGGGGGGGGGGGGGGGGGGGGGGCCGGGGAAAAAAAAAAAAAGGGTTTAAGGGGGGAGGGGGGGGGGGGGGGGGGGAAGGGAAAAAAAAAGGGGGGGGGGGGGGGGAAAAAAAAAAGGGGGAAAAAAAAAAAGGGGGGGGGGAAAAAAAAGGGCCCAAAAAAAGGGGAAAGGAAAAACCCTTTTTCCCGGTTGGGGGGGGGGGTGCGGGTTTTGGTTGGGGGGATCTAGGGATAAAAACCGGGAGAAATATGTAGTTAAAAATCAATTCCAGGATACCAATCAGTCAATCAGAAATCGAGCTATCAGCTGCCCAAGACCAGGAGGGTGTTCCCGCGGAGCTTTCCACCGCGGCCATGAGGAAATGCCATCACAGAACTGGAGCTCTCGCCGCGTTTGACTCTTTCGAGCAGTTCGTGGAATATTCCGATGAGATATTGGATCTGGTTCACGATTTCGCCAGCACAGCCACTGTAAGACGTGAGGTATGTTTTAGTGTTTAACTTAATTCAAAAACTTTTACATAAAACACTTTAACGGTTTAAAACGCGATATATGTCAGTTAAACTTATTTGAAACTTAATTTAAGTACGTTGAGTACGACCATAATTACCACAATTACTTTCTGTTACAGGACCTCCAAGCTCTTCAAGAAGGCAGTGAGAGTCGGGACAGCACTAGTATTAATGTTGGAATGGACTATATCAAAATCGTTGAGGAAGATGTTGTAAGTATATCATATAATGGAGCATCTAATTTAAACGTCAACTGCTTTGTTACGTGACGCGTTACTGTGCCTTCGAAGAATCGTATTGAAACCCTTTCTTGCCATTTTTACAAGTTTAAATATGGTCGTTAACTGACAAGTTAAGGAATTAATTTTACCATTCGTTGTGTGCCGTAGATGCAGGTAAGTAGTCAAAATCTAAAATCAATTATACACATTTAGAAACGTATAAACGTCAAACCAGTTAAAACCTAAAAACCAAAATCGAGGGAGTAAAACGAGCAAGAAGAACTGGCAATAAACTCGCCGCCCCTCCCTTTACCTTTTGAGTTTTATTTTACAGTTCTTACGTACTAAAAGTATACTGCATCTTTGCGATACAAGTAATTCCTTTCAAACGCTTTACCACAAACATCTTTTGTCTCTTAGCCTCTGGAGCCGATTCATATCCTCATGATCGGAATACGCGACTCGGGAGAGGCCGACGACGGCGCAGTATCGCGTCGCTTCGGTCATTTCTGTCGCGCGCACACCAGGGAACTTCACCAGAAGCGCATACGACGAATCACCTTTATGCTGTTGATTAAGTGAGTAATATAATTTTCACTTCTATCGTAAATAGTGTTGAGGATTCTGAAGCCGGTAGAATTCTATGCTTAAGAACTTGTTAAACTTATATTTACTTTACAGTTTAGTATCATATTATAATATTTGTCAGTTTTTTGCACCGCGAAATCAAAAAGCTTTCGTATTAAAATAGAAGTTTGTTGCCGATAGTACTTTATTTAATACTAGCTGTGGCCGCGACTTCGTCCCCGTGGATCAGTGACTTGGGGTAGAATTTTTTATTATTTAGGCTGTTTATTAATGTATGTAAGGGCGCATTTAAAGGGCAGCCAATCTATGTTGTAAGTGCTACTTTGCCGCAACACTCTCACCTCACATCCTTCCTACTCCAACTCCCACTCTCATTCCTACACTCACTCCCACTCTCATAATTCCAAAAAAGCCAAAGAAAAAAGTTTCATTGTTCTAGCTTAAAAAAACACGAATTTCCATACAAACTTTCTCCCCTTCAACCCTATCAACCCTTATTTGGCAACAAATATAAGGCTCTAAAATATGTAAGATATAGTATTTTAGGGCCTCAGAAAGGACAGAAAGCAAATTTCATTTAAATCAGTTCAGTAGTTTCGGAGTTAAAGCCGGACAGACAGACGACAGTTACTTTCGCATTTATAATAATAGTATAGATATATAAGTTACTAAATATTCGGGCAATGTGGCAGAGTTGGAATGAGAATAAGTTATAAACACTCACAAGTATTGAATTATAATGTATATTGTAGACCAATTATTAACCATTTATTTAGACTAGACAGAAATGAAAGAGAAAATATGTATAAAAACTTTCATTTAATCTTAAATTTTATTATTCATATATAATTTAAAAATCGATATTGGATCGAGTAAAAATACGATACGGGCAGAACTTGAATCGTCACCCAATTCGTAAAAAAAATAAATATCTAAAGTCGATGTCTCCTTAGTACAATTTGCGTACAAAATATACTATTTACGTAAAATTTAACTTTTTGCCTTTCGAATAGAAGAACACCTTTAAATTCGGAAAAATAGAGTTTGTTAATTTTTTTCAGACGTCAATTCCCCAAGTTCTTCACGTACCGTGCTAGGAATGACTTCAGAGAGGATACAATCTATAGACACCTGGAGCCAGCATCTGCGTTCCAATTGGAGTTATACCGTATGAGGAGTTATGACCTTGAAGCACTGCCGACCAGCAACCAGAAGATGCATCTATATCTTGGAAAGGCTAAGGTAAAACAAATGCAAGTTCACTCCAAATAATAATTAGAATGACAACTGTATAAGAAGGATAGTATTTTTTCACTCTATTAAGCATTGTAATAGGTTCCGTCGTTAACATGAGTAGTACACACAAAATAAAACACTCTCAACGGTTTAAAACACGAAAAGCATCAATGTCCCCTCATAATCCCCACCCTTCATTAAAATATATGTGGCTTTAAACGGTTAAGTGTTTAATCAATTTCTTATTGTAAATCAATATTTTTGGTCATTAAAATAATAACATATTGCAATAAACCCAGGTGAAGAAAGGCCAAGAGGTAACAGACTTCAGATTCTTCATCAGATCTATCATTAGGCACCAGGATCTCATCACCAAGGAGGCCAGTTTTGAATATTTGCAGAACGAAGGAGAACGGTATGTTTCTATTATTTTTAATTACATTATATAATGCTTTAGTCCAGCCATAGACAGATTACGGGACATTAAAAAAGACTAAGACTCAGAATTTCAAAAGCTTTGAAAATTCCCGCAAGACCCTAATACAACTTATAAGAAAAATATTAATAATTGTCAACGATTTAACTTTACTAGGTATTATCTAGCATCGTTGTAATAAACCATCGGTGTTATCCTACGCAAGAATACATTTTTTCGGTCGAGCTGGGCACTGACATCCCATAAACTACCTTTGATAACAACTGAGCAGTCAAACGTTTACAAAAATGTCTTCGCTGCATGTGACACAGGGGAACTCACTTTTTATACTGTTTTTTTATTCTACAGGGTGCTCTTAGAAGCGATGGACGAGTTAGAAGTTGCCTACTCACATCCCCTAGCGAAGAGAACGGATTGTAATCACATATTCCTGAACTTTGGACCCACCATACTAATAGATCCTACTAAGGTGACACACTTATTTTGTTGACAATAAAATAATAATATATTTCTTCACTTCAAAATAAATGTCACATTTCTTTTGACATATAAAAAGTATTTCGGAACTTTTTATATGTCAAAAGAAATGCAGCAGTTCGACAGCATCTTAATTAAATGTGTCAGAAAAACAAGTAATGTATATATAATGTGTCGAATGAAATGTAAGAACAAGCGAAAGGATATGTGTGAAAGGGACGGAGAGAGAGATCAAAGATGGCGAATTAAGACGTAACCCGTAAGGAGCTGAGACGTATTGTTTTAAGAGGGAGACGGAATTAAAGATGTATAATTTGTAAATTTGGATCTTTCACAAATCCCTACATGAGTGGTATATTTTTCAAACTTTGGTAACTCTATGATGTCATATCAGTTTTCAATTTTGCTCTCATTTTCAGATCGAAGAATCAGTGATAGGAATGGTAATGAGGTACGGGCCCAGGTTGTGGAAACTCAGGGTTCTCCAAGCGGAGATCAGATTCACTCTGCGAACAGGTAAATCCTTTCTCCTACGACATGAAATAAAAAAAAATGCTTTTTTAGTGTCACATTATAAAATATATGAATATGTATTTAAAAAATGTCAAGGGCGGACAATCCTTATCTTACTTCTAACATTTAAAATCTAGTTGTCCTTTTCTGTCATAGAACAATCAAGGGTTAAATGTGTATAAACGTATCAGCTAGTCTATCAGACTTTTGTCGTTATTTCTTTCTTTTCTATTTTCTACTCAATTCAGCCTCATTAAATAAATAATAAATAAATAAATAGCTAGCAATCTCTGTTCGATTACATATATTTTTCTGTGTGTATACATTGTGTATATCAAGCAGACTGACCAGGAAAAAACCCGCATCGATAATTCTTTTCTCATACTTATTTATTTATTTGCGAATTAAATCTTATTCTTTCATCTGTTGCTGTCAGACGTTATTTAAACGCGTAGATTAATCACCAACCTGGAAATAAGTCTGTTCTGGTATACATATTGTATGTAAGATATACTTTAGGCCAGGGTTTCCCAAACTATGGTCGCACCCACTGGTGGGTCGCGAGCAAATATTGAGTGGGCCCTAGATACTAGATGAGTCTACAGACGTGCAAGGCCTATCTCAATTAATTGTTTTTGTGCGTTAATATGCAAGAAGACTGCATGAAGACATTTTGTTTTGCAAGCCAATTACTCGTGGAAAGCTGAGGTAATTTCAACTAATTATTCCATATAAAAGGAAAAGTATAAGTGGAAGAACTGGTCGGTATATGTACTGACGTGCGCGGGCAATGTGCGGGAAAAATAGCAGTTTACAAGAATTCTTGAAAAAGTCCCTATGCTTGTGGACAACTGTAGCCTTCATAGAGAAGCACTGTTTCCCAAGCATTGCCTGATATTTCAAAACTTTCTAAATACACCGTTAAAATTTTAATTATATTAAAACAATACCCTTGCAAGCTCGCTTATTTCAAAAGTGTGTGAAGAAATGGTAGTCTTATACATCTCTCCTGTTGCATACGGAATTCTTGTTATCCAGGGGAAAAGTATGACACGATTAGTGGAATTAGCCACGAATTCTAATTTATTGGAAGAAAAAACTGAATATACTAAACATCTAATGGACGAAGAATTTATTCTCACTCACTACGATATTTTTTCGAAGTTAAATGAACTCAATTTTATTTGCAAGTTCAAACGGTCAGACATTTTTGGGTTCACGATAAATTGGTTTATGAAAAAGCTTTTCTGTGGAACAGTTGTATTGAGGATGGAGTAGATTGTTTTGAAACACTTGAAACGTTTATTGTTGAAAACCAAGTGCAGCCAAAATTAACGTAGTATTTGCAATTTCTCCCATTTATCATTGTTAAAAAAACTTTGACGACTATTTCGGTGAGGAGATGCAAAGCTCGCTTGTTGAAATGGATTTTAACCCATTTCAAGACCCCCTACCAACTGGTATTCAACAAAAGCAAGTGAAGAGCTAATTGATTTATCAAAATTCGTCACAAAAAAATAGTTTCAATGTAAGCCATTAACGAAATTCTGGCTCTCGGTTGCTGGTAGTTATCCATCCTGTTTGATGAAGCTAGAAAGTCCTCCTCCCCTTTACTACCTCATACTTATTGAGTTTTTGAATATTGAGCATTAAAACTAAATACCAAAATAAATTGGACTTATCAAACTCACTGCGATTAAAAGTAAAAAAGTTGAAGTAGATTCAAAACTTATGGCAAAACATAGGAAACAATTTCATCCTTCATTAAATTCATATAATTAAGTAATAAAAGATTTATTAAAATAGTTTTTATTTAAAAGTCTTTATCATATTGCTACTTTAATTTCTAGAGGTGGTCCCGAGTTTGTAAACTTATTTATATGAGTGTACCATCACTTTGGGAACCCCTGTTTAGGCAGTAGTTTTAAAATGTTTCTGTTGTTCTGGTGCTATAATATTGTATCAGAGATATATTGGCATACATATATATCGAACAGATCAGGTACCGTAAAAACATTTCTATCTAATTTTTTTCTATTTCATCATCTTTGCATTTTTTCTATTCACAAATCAAGTAAAAAGATTACTCCAATCGACTTAAATTCATTCTCTCGTAAAACCTACATATATTACATTATTCTTTTTCAATTCACTTACTTTTACTTGTATAAAGATAAAAAGTTAAACATACGTTTCATATACTAAATATAAATAAATAGAGTTCTATAATCGCAAAAAACCCAAAAAAAAAAAAAAAACCCCCCGTAAAAAATTGGGGTTTTTGTTTTTTTTTTTTTTTTTTGGGAAAAAAAAAAAAAAAAGGGCCCCCCCCGGGTTTTTTTTTTTTTTTTTTTTTTTAAAAATTTTTCCCCCCAAAAAAAAAAAATTTTTTTTAAAAATTTTTTTATAAGAAGTCCCCAATTTTAAAAAAAACAAAAAATTTCTCCCTTAAAATTTTTTTAATAATAAAAAAATAGTGGAAAACGCGTATATTAGAAAAGTCTGTTCGGATATATACGTCACCACTCAACGGATTGGATATCATACGGCGCCGCTCGCAGCAAATCCAAAATAAAAACCTCATATTTTAATATTACATTTCTCGACTAATAACGCTCTCTACATAAGTTTTCAATCTTAAAAAACAAAAGCCCCCAACCTAATAAATAAATAAATACACTTTAATATTGCAATATTCTATCAATTTATTTTAATACTTAATAAACCCTCTAAAATAACCTAATAGATTTTTAACAAAAAGTACTTTCTATAAATATTCCGTATTCTTAAAAAATATAATAACAAAACGCGAAAAGCGTGTCCCTTTTAGTCATAACAATCATAGTTCTTCTCATCTAGGTCCCTTTGTTTTCACCTCCAGGTAAAATATATCTAATCTTAGCAGCTGCGCGCATAAACAATTATCATTACAAAACAAAAGTCATAAAAATTTGTTCAAACTTAAGCTCTTCAATCATAAAACAATAGAGTCAATACAAACAGCTCAACATACTATCTGTAAAACATAATCCCTCAACTTACCCAACTCATTAGCGCCCTTTGTTCATAGGCTCAGGTAAAATAACTTATCATACCAGCTGCGCTTCAAACAATAGAAAGTCTAAACAATAAATAGCTTAATCCCCCAAGTCATCTTCTAACTATTCTTCGTTCAGTGGTTTAACACAAATAATCTCTTGCTTAATGAAAAGAAAACTAAATGCATTAAGTTTGTAACAGCAAACGTTAAATGCAATATAATTGATAATTTAAAAATAAAAGATGAGAAAATAGGTTTTGTCGAAAATGCTGTATTCTTAGGTATAACTCTTGATTGTAAACTCCAGTGGGGGCCACATATAAAAAATCTCTCGAATAAACTAAGCTCTGCAGCCTATGCTGTAAAGAAGATACGACAGCTTACTGATGAAAATACAGCCAAGCTTGTCTATTTTAGTTACTTCCATAGTGTAATGTCTTACGGCATCCTTTTATGGGGCAATGCAGCCGATATTCAAACTATATTGTTTACAGAAAAGGGCCATTCGAGCGATTCGTGGTCTTTCCCCACGAGAGTCCGTCCGAGATAAATTTAAATCATTGAATATTCTAACATTAGCAAGTCAATATATTTATGAAAATGTTTTGTTTGCTCGAAAAAATGTACATAATTTTAAAACAAATAGCAGTTTTCATCAATATAATACACGCAATAAAGATAAAATAAGTGTACCGACCAAAAGGCTCCATAAGACAAGTAATTCTTTTCAAGGTAACTGCATACGGTATTTTAATATCATCCCTAGTGAAGTAAAAACGCTGTCAATAAGTAAGTTTAAATCGTTTGTTAAACAAAAACTGCTTGGAAAGGGTTATTATAACGTAAATGAATATTTAAATGATAAAAATGCTTGGGCTATGGAGGAACCCGCTCTATCAAGGAAGAAATGTACACAATGAGTGCGTAAGGACTATAAGGAAATGTAATAAGAACTTGGCAGTTAAAAGGAGTGGCGGCGAGTTTCTTGCCAGTTCTTCTCGTTCGTTCTACGCCCTAACTTGGGAACTGGTAGTAACTGTAAATTTAGAGTCTTAAGTTTTTACCTGTTTTGACGTTCATAAGTGTACTAAGCTACCTACATGAATAAATGATTTTTGATTTGATTTAACCCATTAGCGTTCTTTGTTCTCGCGTCCAGGCAAAATACCTTATCGAAGCAGCTGCGTTCAAAACGTCAAGTTAATCCCCTAAGTAGTAGTACAGATAATAATTAAATCCATATTCCGTGCTTTTGTTAGAATTATCTATTTAAATAAAACACTTTAACGGTTTAAAACGCGATATATTAGTTAAACTTATTTGAAAATGATTTTTAACTTCACCCCGACGTTTCGGATGCTTTGCAGCAGCCGTGGTCACGGGGAGACTAAAGATGGAGGATGTCTCAGACGTCAAAGTAAAGAATTGCTAGCTAGCGCCATCTGTTCCGTCGAAGTTGGTATTTGGCGAAACTGGCCGGTCCTTACAGAATTGACTAACGGTGTCTTCGCTTGCTGGTATGTGTTTATTGGGATCCAAGTTTAAATGGGATCCCAGGTGTTTGATAGTTTGAGGCCGTCCTCCCTATTGAAATTTCGGTTTTTTTGATTTCAATTGTTCGGTACCAATCTTGGAAAAAATCGACTCTCCTTTGGAGGATTTTTGTTGGTCAGCGAATGTAGTATTGGGCCCTTCTGATGAGTGTTGGCATACCGCAGATTTGGAGAACGTTTATGTTTTATATCGGACGTGTTCTTTAATTCTGTTGAGATGCTACGCTTTGTTGGCGATGTAGGATAGGCCACAATCACAATCCAGTCTGTAAACGCCTGCATCTTGTAAAGGGATAGTACACTTGCTTGGTTTCAGGAATTGCTGAATCTTTTTGTGCGGCTTGAAAATTGTGTCAATAGAAGCTCGATTTAGGACTCTGCTAATTCTATCTGTAACTCCCTTCACATATGGTAGGTAGGCGGGCTGACGTTTGACTGTGGGTGGCTTGTTCCTGTTCCTGGGATGCTGCGGAGGGACTCTCAGCTTGTTCTTGCATAGGACCTGCTTGACATGCTGTAACTCCTCATTTAAGTGGGCAGCATCACAGAGACGGCGGGCTCTCTGAAACAAAGATACTCCGACAGAACTAAGTTGGCTGGGGTGGTGATGTGAGCCCCAGCCAACTTAGTCATGCATGTCAAGCAGGTCCTATGCAAGAACAAGCTGAGAGTCCCTCCGCAGCATCCCAGGAACAGGAACAAGCCACCCACAGTCAAACGTCAGCCCGCCTACCTACCATATGTGAAGGGAGTTACAGATAGAATTAGCAGAGTCCTAAATCGAGCTTCTATTGACACAATTTTCAAGCGAAAGAAGATTCAGCAATTCCTGAAACCAAGCAAGTGTACTATCCCTTTACAAGATGCAGGCGTTTACAGACTGGATTGTGATTGTGGCCTATCCTATATCGGCCAAACAAAGCGTAGCATCTCAAACAGAATTAAAGAACACGTCGCGGATATAAAACATAAACGTCTCTCCAAATCTGCGGTATGCCAACACTCATCAGAAGGGCCCAATCACTACATTCGCTTTGACCAACCAAAAATCCTCGCAAAGGAGAGTCGATTTTTTCCAAGATTGGTAGCGAAGCAATTGAAATCAAAAAACACCGAAATTTCAATAGGGAGGACGGCCTCAAACTATCAAACACCTGGGATCCCATATTAAAAACTCTGGATCCCAATAAACAGCATACCAGCAAACGCGAAGACACCGTTATCAATTCTGTAAGGACCCGGCCAGTTTCGCCAAATACCAACTTCGACGGAACAGATGGGCTAGCGTAGCAATTCTTTACTTTGACGTCTGAGACATCCTCCATCTTTATCTCCCGTGACCACGGCTGCTGCAAAGCATCCGAAACGTCGGGCCGAAGTTAAAAATCATTTTCAAATAAGTTTAACTAATATATGGTTTTAAACCGTTAAAGTGTTTTATTTAAATGTTACTATGGTAAACTATAGAAGTATAGAATTATCTATTGTTGTATCACTAAGGCTCACTTTTAATATACTTAGATATATATATATATATATATATATTATATATATTTTTTTTTTTTTCTTATATTTTCTCTCTTTCCTTTCTCTCCACTTGTAAAGCTCTCACAGCAAGCAACTTAGCATTGTATAACCTTATATATATGTAAATATTTTGTTTGTATAAAGATAAGAAAATTATGTATAAATGTCACAAATACGATTGTATAGTAAAGCTCTCAATTATATAAATATAGAATGTAAGTTAAACAATGTCAATGTAAAGCTTGTAGACACTAAGAAATACTTGATTTGTATAGCGACTCTAATACTAAGGAACCACATTTTGTAAAAACCAGTGTTAAAGGAACTTCGTGGAAAGACTGTATCCAATAGCAGCATCCACAAAGTTCCTTCCCCTAAAATCTGTATACCACTCAAACACCAATACCAATGTACCAATAAGTTGAAAAAAAAAAAAGTCTATCAGACTGTGTAATACAATTAGGTATCTAATACATAGTATAAGTGTAAGGACTAATTTCGAATATGCTTACAGGTCCCGGTATGCCCACCAAGACTATTCGTCTCTGCCTCTCAAATGGTTCTGGATACTCTCTCGATGTTTACAGTTACGAAGAGGTCTCGGATTCTAAGACCGGTGTGGTAAGTTGATAAAATCTCTTTTTTTTTTTGTAGGTACAAACATTCTATGTCAAGTATTTGCAGTAGACTTTTTCTTTATGAAATTTTTGTCCGTTTTTTTTTCAGCACTAGTCAAGTGATTATACGTTATTTAATTTGGTTTCAGATAATATTCCAGTCGTATGGCCCGAAACAAGGTCCCATGCACGGCTTGCCAATATCGACGCCTTACGTTACCAAAGATTATCTACAGCAGAAACGATTCTTGGTAAGTAATATTGCACAAGATCCATCGCTCCATTAGTATAGATAATTTGTACTGGCAGTGAATATTAAAATAATTGTACAGTTCAGAACAGGCGTTAATTTCTACAGTTAAATGTAACCGATTCAAATCAGCGCCCTCTGTAGTTCACGGGAATAGTACAACATTTATATAAAATACTATAACGCTTCATAATGCGAAAACGATTCGATGTTTTCGACAATATTTCGCGTTTGAAACATTTAATTTTTTGTTTATTTAAATCAGTGATTGACACCAAACAAATTGTTTGTTGTATATAGTAATCACATAATTTTTCAGGCAACATCTCAAGGCACCACTTACGTGTATGATATCCCGGATATGTTCCGTCAAATGGTTGAGAACCAATGGCGCGACTATATTGAACAGGGTATTGTTGATGGTACGTATTTGAAATCTAAGTATAGTTATTTAGACAGTCAATTTTGTACAGTCGTATGGGAAAGCCCGAAAATTACTGTGTAAACAGAAAAATGTCTTGAAGGAGTTAGCAGGGACAATAACTGAATCCAAATGACTTACAGGTCCCCGACCAGACAACGTGATGAGTTTGGTGGAGTTGGTAATGGAGAACGACGGAGAGAGACGAATCGTCGAAGTCACTAGATTACCAGGGCAGAACAATGTTAGAAGATAACCGTTTATTTAAAACTTATTAATTTACCGATAAAATAGTTGTTTAAATTTAAAGGGAACAAAACGAAACCAAGTTTTATCAATAGTCTATATATATTAATTAATGATCTTAATAAGGGGTTTGCGCGCCCCCATTTGGCATTTTTATCAAATTGTACAAATATATTGTATGTAGTTTACGAGAGTGGTCAACAAACCATTCATTCAATTAACCATTTTTAATATTTGAAAACGCTGAAAAGCCTCCGAAACATCCGAACAGAATTAAAAATTAATCAATGTAAAAAAATTTACATTTTTAACCGTCTGAAGTGATTTATTCAATATTAAAAGCGACGAAATATGATCATTTGATGAAATATCGAGATAGATACATTGTATAAGGCTTTCACGGGATTTTGCTTAACAATTTAGGATTTTAAGTGAATGTACCCACTTGCCTGGCCTTCAATCTTTGTCTGCAACAAAATATAAAATTGATAATCCTCCATTATACCTACAGAAAACATACTAAACTTATAACCTAATTTGTCCAGGTCGGTATGGTTGCCTGGCGAATAACTCTTAACACCCCGGAATACCCCGAAGGGCGAGATATCGTCCTTATAGCCAACGACCTCACCTATTATATGGGATCTTTTGGACCGCAAGAAGACTGGGTGTACTTCAGAGCTTCAGAGTATGCGCGAGAGCATAAAATACCGAGGGTAATACTCAAATGTGTTTATTTATGTTAATTATTACTTAAACATGCGCAAGAGTTTATAAAATGATTCATGTTTATTTTGGAGCTTGTAAATTTTTTCGTATCTATTTCTTTGACTACATTTATGTAATTTTTATCAAAACGTATCTACACAAATTTACACAGTATCTCAATTGGTAGAGTGACCCAGCGCAACGTTGTGGGTTCGAATCCCGCTCAAATTTATATAAGCTGCTGCTGGTGTGTGAAAAAATCGAAGTGAAAGTTGAAATTGTACGTTATGTTAAGTGAATGTGAAACAAATTATTCAATAACTATTATAATCTATTACCTTTTTTAATTTACTAGTTTTTTTTTTGTATTTGTAAACGAACTTAAAAAATAATTATCAATTTGAATCGATATATGCTCTTCAAAGTCTGTTTTACCTTCAAATCAAAATCAAATATGATTTAAATATGGTTATATATATGGCAATACATTTTTATAGATATACGTAAGCGTGAACTCCGGCGCACGTATAGGCGTGGCTGAAGAGGTGAAATCCGAATTCCAAGTGGCCTGGATAGACGCAGAGCACCCCGAACGTGGCTTCAAGTACCTCTACCTGAGCCCCGAAGCCTACTCACGTTTGGGGCCTATGGGGTCTGTTAAGACCAGTCTCATTGAAGATGAGGGAGAGGCTAGATATAAAATTACGGATGTTATTGGTAAGTCTTATCAAAGTCATATCAATTGACAAACGTTTTACTTTAAAGTTACTGTAAATAAAGTTCATTTTATTATAATTATTATACTCGCTAAAAATGTTGACTTCATTTAGTAACTGTGTCTTTACGTTAACTCTGCAATCATTCGATTGGATGAAACGAAGAAAAGATGTCATTTAATATATTTCGAGAATAGTCGATCTTTTTAGTTCTTCCACGCACTCTATCAAATCGATTTGAGAAGAAAAAACGTGGCTTTTACGTCAAGTCATACAACGATTCTGTAATTATACCCCGCATTCAAAATTTCGGAAAAATATAAATAGTTTTGCCCTACTGAATTCATAACTGAAAATATCATTGATCACTAACTACGGGCAGACATTACGTCCGCTCACAACCCCCCAGGATACATTTAACTGTGTAGGGTATAAATTAATGCCCTCTTTAATTGTCCTTAAAATAGGTAAGGAAGACGGCTTGGGCGTCGAGTGTCTTCGGGACGCTGGTCTCATAGCCGGTGAAACGGCTCAGGCTTACGAAGACATTGTCACGATATCCGTTGTCACGTGCAGGGCTATCGGTATCGGATCTTATGTCGTCAGGTAACAACAATCTGAATATTATTAACTAGCTATGACAGCCACTTCGTCCGCGTAGAATAGTAGCGTGTCGGGCATCAGAAGATGCTTTTAATTAAAAGTCAAAGTAGGTCGACAGCGTATCGTTGACATGACAAGTATTTTTCTTTTCGATTGTCTGTCCTTCCCTATCATGTTAGTTATCTGTGTTCTATTTATTCCTATCCAGATTAGGCCACCGAGTAATCCAAGTAGAGTCTTCCTACATAGTTCTGACTGGTTACATGGCGCTTAATAAACTCCTCGGAAAACCGGTTTACGCCAGTAACAACCAGCTAGGAGGTATACAGATTATGTACAACAATGGAGTGACGCACGCCGTGGCTCCGTCGGACTTGGAGGCGATAGGGACCACTGTTAAATGGCTCTCTTATATACCAAAGGTAGAGCTATGAACACTAATCTTTAGAGCTAGTAGTAAATCTCAATAGACTCGACGAGAAGAACTGGCAAAAAACTCGCGCCGCATCTCCTTTTATAGCCATATCTTTTTGCTTTTAAATATAACACTCTTGAAGCCTTGGTCACCAAGGGAATGCTGCTGATTCAAAGCATATGAATGGTCAGGCTCTAGTTAAAATAAACAAACGTTGCTTTAGTTTATACGTAATTTGTCCTATATTGTTTACAAGAGCGACCTTCAGTTCGAAGGCCTTCTGCAAGCTCTTCTGTTAGGTTAGTTGCAAAAAGTTCGATCGGACGCCCCATACCCCATATAGACTGAGATGTTATATTTACGGTTTCCAGGATAAATTAAGTATAGTGCCAATGCTACGTAGCGCAGACCCGATAGACAGGCCCGTGGAATGGGTTCCACCAAGAGCCGCTCACGACCCTCGCCTCATCCTGACTGGTGAGGGCAACCGGCTTGGGTTCTTCGACGCGGGCTCCTTCGATGAGATCATGAGACCTTGGGCGCAAACCGTCATAGCCGGTAAGACATTATTTTTTTATGATAGAGGTATCAAACAAACATGACTTCAATTCAATGGAAGGTGAAATTCAACCATATAACAATTAAATATCTAGCGCTGTCGACCTATTTTGGTTTAGGTTTGTAGGATATTTACAGACTAAAACTGAATCATAAATTTACCATTACACGGCACAACGAATTTCTTAGTCAGGAATCCCTTTCCGCTTTTTGAGATTTTAGGAATATGTGTGATATTGTGGAAAACGAACCCATATATCGCCATATATTCGAGTAGTTAGTATAAAGATAAAATTACCTCACTTAGTTGCTAGTAATTTTAAATTAATAATAAAATGGTTTCCTTTTTTATTTATATGAGTTTGACTTTTTGTGTGCGCAATTCTTTTCGTGAAATTTCTGTTATTTGGTTTTGCAATTTACCGTTTAAATAACCGGAATTAATCAAATTAAACTCTTATTACACTGACGTAAAGCAATCTGTATTTTACGTGTCCAGGTCGTGCTCGCCTCGGCGGTATCCCCGTGGGGGTGATAGCAGTGGAAACGCGCACCGTGGAACTTACGTTACCAGCTGATCCAGCCAATTTGGACTCAGAGGCGAAAACTGTACAGCAAGCTGGACAGGTTATCTCTTGGACTAATTATTTGGAATTAAGCAAATACTAATTATATTAATACATTGTTTATCAGGTAGCCTTCATTTGTTTTAAAGTTTTAAAATTTGTTACAGGTTTGGTTCCCGGACTCGTCATACAAGACTGCGCAAGCAATTAATGACTTCTCAAGAGAGGGTCTGCCTATTATTATATTCGCAAACTGGCGTGGTTTTAGCGGTGGACAGAAAGGTTTGTAGATGTCAGAAATATTAATATTTCAAGAATTGTTTCAAAGCAAAGTTATTTTCAGTTTTGCATATCTTATGGTGTTAAACCAACATATATATATAAATAACATAGAAACATACTTGGGTTAACGTCGGGTTTGGCATACGGTTCTCGATTTTAACATACGAAAAAATAGCATCTTCAAGGAGGCTCTAGGCGTTCCTAAATTTAGCTACCATCCTTCGTTGTTGTAGAACACAATGAAATATTTTTTTAATAGACGGTGAAAGCTTTTAATAAGTACTTTGCAAAATGGCTGCGAAAGCCTTAATACAATTACAATTTAAACACAAAAGAAATACATAATACTATTTATATATTTATTCATATAATTTTCATTAGCTAACAATTACTTTTAATTGTCTCACAATATACCTATTACATTAAACAATATAGTACAGTATTTGTTTCCTCTAGATATGTATGAACAAATCCTGAAATTCGGCGCTGAAATAGTGCGCGCGCTTCGTGGTGCAACCGCACCCGTTTTAGTATACATTCCGCCGGGGGCGGAGCTCAGGGGCGGGGCTTGGGCGGTCGTTGACCCTAGCGTTAACGGCACACGTATGGAGATGTACGCTGACAATGACGCAAGGTAGACAATTAAATTTGTATTAAGTAATTATATTTTGTTTTAAAAATTATCGAAAGTTTTAGCAACAATATAAGTTGTAGGGCTAGCGTAGCAGATTTGACTTTGAAACTGGTATCACGAGTGACACCGCCTCTCCGTCCGAAACGTCGGGTCGTAGTTTTAGGTTTATTAAATTTTGCGTTAAAAGTCTCTGTGTAAAAATTAAATGTTTCTTGTGCGCCATCATGAAAGAAGTGTATTTTGTAGTATGTATCGATTGTCAACTAGTCTACTAGTGCGAAAATACTTGCAGGGGTGGAGTACTAGAACCGGAAGGTATAGTCGAAGTGAAGTTCAAACAGAGGGATATTGTGAAAACGATGCATCGCCTCGACCCTGAGTTACTGCGGTTAGGAGCCAGGATATCAGGTAACTATTGTGGTGCCTTAGTTAACCGTTTTAGGAAAAAAAAAGTAAAGTACTGGAGAAAATTTTAACATTATAAAATAATTATGAAATTGTAATTTTTTTTTGTATAGTATTTATATTTAGTTAGTAATTTAGTAAATTTTCTTATTAAAAGATATTCAGAATATTTACTCAAGTGGCAAATACACTTTAAACTAAATACACTTTTACTTGAGTGATATCCCTTTACGGGACAAACACATTTCTGTGTCCGTTTCCTTGATCGGTTCTTTCATGAGCAAGTAGTTGATCAGACTTCTATGCCCTGCCAACCGAAACAATATATTGTTTCCCTAGTATTTGAACCCAGGACGTCTCGCGTTTAAGAATTTATACTACAGAAAAGTTAAGTGAGGACGTATCCAAAGATATCACACACATACATACGGTGTACACACCATATCTGTCTATGTGTGTTTTTGTTGAAAGGTGTTAAGTTATTTTAATATGTTTTTTTTTTTAATTTTCAGAGTTAAAAGAACAAATTAAGGACATATCAAAGAATCTAGATAGAAGAGGTTCGGTCGATGAAGTTCTAATTAAAACGGACGCGGGCAGACAAGGTAAACAGATGTACATAAACATTTGTGTGCATTTTATATACAAGTAATTCTCTTTCTTTAATATTGATTTCTATTTTTAGCTGAAAGCAAAATAAGAGATTTGGAAAGCGAGCTGCTTGTGGCGGAGAAGAATGCTAAAACAAGAGAAAAAGAGTTAGCCTCCGTTTACCATCAAGTAAGTTCTTAATTCTAACATTGTACGAGATTGATTCAAAATATAACACATTATTTAACCGCGACGTAAAGATAAACTTAAAAACCATTGACAAAATAGGAAATCTATCATTTGGACGTTACTTACTAATGTTAAAAAGTCTATTGCTAATACTGTACTGTCCGTCCGTCCGTCACGTAACTTAAGGTTACATAGGCCATATTATAAAAATCGTGTATTTCTCTTGATATGAATATAGGCTGTCAAGAGAGATAATTTTTGCTGTTTCGTATTTTGTTGATTTAGTTGTAGCTGCTAGTAAAGGTTGGTTAACTCTGACTTCTAAATTCTAGATCGCGATCCAATTCGCTGAATTGCACGACACAGCGGAAAGAATGTTGGAGAAGGGCTGCATCTTCGACATCGTGCCCTGGAAGCACTCGAGGCGGATCCTGTATTGGCGGCTGAGGAGGCTGCTACGACAGAACCAGCAGGAGATGAGGGTACAGAACGCGACGGGGCCCAGCGTCGACCAGCGAGCCGCAGCGGCCACCCTCAGGCGGTGGTTCACAGAAGACAGGGGAGAGACGCAGGTCAGAGCTATATTTTGTATTGTAATCGCCAAGAACAGCTTAGGCTTAAGTAAAAATCTATTTAGATTGAAGAAGTCGTTTAGTTGGCAAGACTTGAACTGGCATCCACAGCGTTCCGTGCTGTTGCTTTAACCAATTGAGCTATCAAGTCCTACACGTCATCTGATTTTTTTAACCTATAGATACCTGTACCTCTCGCGCAATGTAATTTCAACCTTAACCAATTTCTATTACGGTTCAAAGTCGTATATTTATCATAAAAGTCATTAAAGATGAAAATACATGTAAAATGTTTGAACGATGTATTATATTTTATATGTATTTGTTATTTATATAATGCTGTCATTTGGAATAACGTGTGGAAAATAATATATACCACAAAACAAAAAATACACGAGATAAAATCTAAGGTATTGGTCGCGCCACAGATTTTTAGCGCTGAACGAAAAAGTTGCGCATCGGTATAATCGCGCACGCAAATGATTGGAAAACGTGACTGAACTCGAGAAGCAAGCGGAACGTCGTATTGGTCCGAGAAAGACAAAGACCCCGCGCCCGCTTCTGTCCCCGCGATACCTTATTTTTGACTTCTGCGCAGGATTCGTTCAGGGCTAAAGATCCGTGCCGCTACTAATACTATCAGGCAACCAAATCAACGAAAGTTAACGCACCCAGTAAATAGTGGGTTGATAAAAAGGTTTCATTACAGTCGCATCAATGGGAACACGACAACGAAGCTGTCTGCCTGTGGTTAGAGCAACAAGCGGCGGAACCAGATTCGGTGCTGGAGAGGAATTTACGCGCCATTAAACAGGACGCTATACTGCAAACAGTCAATCAACTTGTACTCGTAAGTCAACTGTCTCTATTTTGAGGATGTTTTTGTTGAAGTAGAACACTGTTCCACGTCGTCCTAATTAACTTAATTTTACTTAAGTATTGTCTGCAGTTTATGCGAGTACTACACAGTTTAATAAGACACGTTTAAGGGCTTAAAACGCGACTTAACTTATTTACAATTTATATTAACTACAATCCCATGCATTTATTACGACCGCTGCAAAGTCTTCGAAACGTTAAAATAGATTGTAAATAAATTAACTAGCATATTTCGCGTTTAAAGTGTTAATTCTACTTACACCTTGTAATACTTTAAGGTGGTTTTAAAATGTACATACAATATGGATGATATTGATATTGTTTCTACGTCGTGTTAGTTTTGCTTTTAAGTACACAGAAAGTTTTAATGAAATGAACATCCAGATTCTTTATAAATTAAGATTATTTATGTATATATATCTGGAAAAAAAAAACTTGAAACAAAATTATTTTCGTTTACAGGAATTAACTCCGTCCCAGCGTGCTGAGTTCGTGAGGAAATTATCGAGCTTAGAAATGGAACAAGATTACAACAATTGAAGTTTTACTATTGGGGGGGAGGGGGGGTTATTCGAATCGAAAAACTATGTTTAAATAGCGAGCTCCGATTGGCTATCGTTCCGTGGCCGAAGAGAATTGAGTTTGAAAATCTCTTATTCGATATATAACCCGCCCGTACTATTCGCCGTCCTTCTCACTTACTAAGGTGAAGAGCGAGATAGACAATGATCCGCATTCAAATGTATTTATTTACAGTGCAATTTTGATTTAGCAACATTGATAATTTAAACCATGACTCAAATTATAATTATTTAAAATTAGGTTAATTTAGTTCGTAACGCCAAAGGCGCTCGTTTTTATCTCATTTTTATACTTGACGGACAAAATGTATTCTAATCATTATATTAGGATGAACGCTAATTTCACTGGGCTAGTGTAATTCGGTGTGGAGAAACTGCCTTTTTTATATTATTTCGCTTTTACAGACATATAAATCAAAGTTAAAAATTTATTTCGAATTATGTGATCTAAAAATTAGGAGCCTTTAGCATATTGTGATCGCAGATCGCATGTTGTGGTGATCGCAGATTCGTCAGCATACGCACCGCATATGAATGTGATAGACGCGTTATGTTCAACGAATTCTAAAAAGCTGACAAATTTGCGATCACCTTAACAAGAATATTTACTGTACTGACATAATATTTTGATTTACACAGTTTCGACCAAACACATTAAAAACCAACTATGTTTTAGACTAACTATAACTAATAATTGAAAAGCGAATCTTCATTCATATTTATATTAAAGCATTCGACGATACGACACTTCGCTTATGGGTTCAAGTCCCACCCGGGATTTTCGTTACTGCAATAGTTTTACTCATAGTAAGTGTGCTAAAGGCAATAAGTAAAAAAAGGGGGGGGGGTCTATACTTATATTGCTTACTAAATTACTTTTTAATATATAAAAAATATTCGTCTCGAATTTATTTACATTATTTTTCACATTCGGATAATACTGTCTTACTTAAACTTTAACAATTATTTATCTAAATCATATGTTGTCCTTATCACACAAAAATAGGGTTTTTAAGGAAGAAGAGTAAATAAATAGCAACATTTTCATAAGTGAGACAAAAATTACCTGAAAATAAAAAAAAAAATCATCTTTACAATGTAACATTCCTGTTAAAATATTTATTTTTATTTAGATAATGCAATCGATTGTTTTTAGATGCCACTTATACTTTCGTCCCGTTTTCGCAAATAGTAACTGTTCTACGCTTGATAGAGACAGAAATACTATTGTGTGTTATAATCTTTTGGCTTTTGAAAACAATACGACTGTACAAGGGTGTTAGGCAAATGTTGTTTTTGTATATAATTAATAAATATTGGAATATTTAAAGGCTTTTCTTTTCCTCGCCTTTTTAACGGTTTTAAAGGCGTAATATTTAGGTTAGCTTATAATGACTATGGTTGATATTTCGGATGATTTTCGTAGTCTCCCCATGACCGCGTCTGTTCCAAAGCTGAGTGATACATATCACGCTTTAAAAAGTTTAAAATGGTTTATTTAATTGTACTGGTTGTCCAGAATAATTACTTTGTAGGATAGATTTTATTAATTAATGGCACTTTTTAAAGTGAAAACTACAAAGGTTGCCGAGTTACGTAACGCGTTACGGTGTTCATGAAGTTAACACTCCTCTGGAGGTATGACTCCAGTTTTTTTATCGCCGGCTTTCCAAATCATATTAAATATCTTATAGTTATTTTTTTCACTTTTGGAAAACCAAAAGGTGGTTTTTCTAAACTCTAGACATTGACTCGAAGAATCGTTAAGTCCGGATCCGAACTTGGGACACTTGTGGATAACATCGGGAGTATAGTGCAAGAATAAAATAAATTCAGCAAAAACATTTTATTCAACAAAATAAATCCATATCCCAAAAATAATGTACAATTCCATTGTAATAGAAAAAGAATACACATCGATTAAATGCATTATGGAATTAATATTGGAAGGATTATAATATTCACATATTATATTTTGCAAATTACTAGTACTATTAAGAATATAGAATATGTAAGAATTTCAGTGTTGCCACTACGGAAAAAGAAAAGTAGACATTACTGAAAGCCCGAATGATAATCTAAAATTAAACTTATAAATTATCGCGTATATACGTCCCTTCGATAGATTGCAATCTACCGATGTTTAAATCCGTCAAATTCTGGTGCGTGCTGTTTCCAATTTTACGACATACAATAGATGGTTAATACTACGTCCCATTAAGGCCGCTAGAGGTAGAGTAGCCTAACTGCAATTTTATGACTTGACTTAATTATATTTTTATAGTAAAAAATATGTTTATCTACAAGGGCACATTGACCGAAAAATGTTGAAATAATTCTTACACAAATTCATTTTCGTCTAAGTTAATTGCGCATTTTTATATTCCTCCTGAAAATCATGTTTTTGTTATTAGGCCACTCTGCCTCTAGCAGCCTCAATTAATCTATTTTCTAGATCTAGCCTACGCGAAACAACAATATGTCACTGCAAACACCACATTTCAAAATGTAAATATTGAGCAAATCGGTGGTCAATTTTAAATTAATAAAGAAATCATTTTTAAAGCTGATTACTATGGCAGGAAAATGAGCTCATTCACACTTGTCGGGTCTCGGTTCAAAGGTTTTTAAATGAAACAAGACAGTTGTCCAGTAGTTTTGTCATTCAATAAAAATCCTCTATTTAGTTATTTTTGACAGAGGACAAAGAAGCGTGAGATGAATTTGAAGGAGGGTTGAACCACATTTACTGGGCAGTGAGGTCTGCAGGACCAGGATTCAGGATTACATCCAAAATAAAAACATTTTTCTTTAACAGAGGAGGTCAGATATGCGTAGAGGTTTCATGGAAGTTTTGATTAGAAATAAGTTGGACCCAGTTGCGATCGAACACGATCCCTTAATTATATATTAGGGGTTGTCCATTAATCACGTGATCTTTTTTTTTTTAATTTTTAACCCCCCCTCCCCATTGGTGAGACGTAGTGAGGTTTAAGACAACCCCCCCTCCCCCTTCTAAACATCACGTGTATTTTTAGTACCTACAAAGAATCTTAAAATTTTCTGAATATTATCTTAATTTAAATACAGGTATAGACTATAATCTTATTTTATTCTGAAATTAAAGACCATAATAAAAATGTCTACACCATTTGTTTAAAAATCGCGCGTTTGACGAACGAAAAATTGAAATTGAAAACGAAAAAATAAATACTCGCGATATCTTACTACACCCTTGTGTTATTTTCGTGATTTTCTTAAAACCCCTCCCCCCCTTTCAAGCCTCACGTGATTAATGGACCCCTTAGCAATACACCGCTACCATTAGACCAACGTGTTTCTTAAATACATAATCACAAGATCTTCGACTGCCATTGTGCAGACGTCTCGCGGAAATGGTGCCCGACAACTGTTTAAAATACGGACCCGACAAGTGGGATCCAGCTATTACATTATGTCAAAAAAAGTCAATAGCTATAGTGCCAAGGAAACAAGGCATACATTTATATATGAGATTTTTGACACAAATCGTCTAATTTTTGGTTCTATATTCTATTAGATTGTGTATACAAATAGAGATTATTTTACATGACCGGGGATCAAAGTACCGACCTTCAGGTTTACAATATACTGTATACCACTAGACCTACGCAGGTGTTATCTGAGTCTAATTTTTTATTATGAAACTTCGCAGTTTAAAAGCACCATTAAACAGTCCATTTCAAAGTAGTGTCTGTAATAGAAATGCAGACTAGCACATTCTACAGATAATATATATAATTTAAGTATTAAAATTACATTTTCAAATCGCATATAACCAATACATTAAATTATAATAAATGTCTTGAGATATCATTTAATATTTAGTAAATTTTATACATTCGTACATTACTAAAGTTATACACATTACACACCACCAAAATGAACCTTTAAATGCGCATGCGCAGTTTTATGTTTGATTTCGATGTCAACGTGAGATTTTATTTTCAACGTTAAGTAAATAAATAACGTATTTGAAAAAAAAAGTTGATAAGCACGCTGTGTCACCATGTAATATTTTATTATACACACATCATCAGCCATCACCAATCCTATAATTGACCAGGCTATACGCGGCTACAGTAATTTCTTAATAAGATTCGAGTAAATGCTATATTTTTTTCAATTATGGAACAATATTATAAAAAAAATATATTAAAAAACGTGGTATGAATTAATAATAATACATATTTTGTCTCTGTTGCACAAATGTCATTAAAAAAACCAAGAGAGACAAGTGAAAAACTACTCAGAGGAGATGAGAAGGACGTAAAGGAACTATGGACAAACATATTGATTTGTCAAGGATTTATCTCTCAAATATTTAACGTGTATTTTGCACAGACGATAATATCTATTCTAGCATTATCTAACGTTTTTCGAGCACAGTTAATATATCGTTAAAACGTCTAGAGTACCATGAGTGCGTCCGCATCTATTATTGAGAGTAGAGCACTTTGATTCCCAATATTCCCATCGGAACGAACATACTAAATCTACACTATCCCTGCCCAAGTTACTACCAGCTAAGGACCTGAAAAGAAAGAAGAACATAAAACATTTGAACACCTCCGTAGCTCAATGATGTCTAGCATTACATTTTGACGGGATCTTGGAGGTTACGTTAGCAATGTAACCTAATAATCAACGGGCGGTGGATTCGATCCCCACCATTTTTATAATCAATTAATATATATATATATATTTCAAATATTTTTCCTAGATATAATTCGAATTTATATTCTAAAACTCTTTTTTATTACAGAGCGATAGGCTTAGACTTTATTATATTGAACGGAGTAAATTAGTCTCTTAGCCTTTCCATTTTCGGGGGAGGCTAGGATGCTACTAAACTTATATCATAAGGCTATGTAGATATGTTTAGAGTGTAGATATTCTATTAATTCGGTATTGTAATTGTAAATTTTGTACTGCGACATAAAAATAAAAAAAACTTTAATTTAATTGTAATTTTTATTTAAAGTACTACTGGTAAACTATAAATATTTCAATAACTTAATAAGGTTAAAGCCTACTCAAAATAAAGATAAAAAAACGGAGTAATTTTTTTAGTACATTATAAAAAAATATACATACCATGAACATTACTTCTTCCATTAGCTATGTACTGATATTTCTAGGTGGTTTAAGTGGTGGCGTTGGATCCTAAAAGGACAAATAGTTTTATTAACATCACTATTCAGAAGCAATCCGGTTTTAAAAACTACTAGCCGATCAGTTAGAAAAAAACAGGCTTAGAAGACAAAATGTTCAATTTGTTACGACAAACTTTTTTGATGTATAATTTTTAACAAATATAATCTTCTAATTTCAATTCTAGACTTAAGATTACATTCAAATAAAATGCTTGATTGGGTAACATGTTTGCCATTGGCAAGGCAAAACATTAGAAATATTAACGAATATATTCCACGTTTTAAACCGTTTAGCATTTAGTTTAGTTGTGTTGTGCCCCAGTAATCTCTAGAACTTAAGCTTAATATTTTTTTTATAATAATTTTTTTTTGACTTTACCTTTTCTAAACTTTCCGAGGAAGTAAGATGTCCATTCTTAAGCGACTCCTTAAGGGTGTCCTCTTCATCAGATGGCACATCGTAGAACTCTTCACTGTCGAACTCTACATCGGTACCTGAAAGTTTACATCAAGCCTTAGTACCAAGCAACAAAGGCTTGTTCTTATTGAACCTTCATTCTAATGATCGAGAAGACAGACATGCAGGTTCCCTTGATGGAAGGTGTAAAACCCCAGCTGTGTACCAACAGCACCCCGTGTTTAAATGTGTACTACTCGCGTAAACTATAGACAATATTTAATCAACGGTATTCTAGGAGGTGTTATTAAAAAACATTCACATTACACTAAAGCTGTCTGCACAACTGAAAATAGGCTCCCTTATCTGCTTACTCCTTTCTACATGCTTAGTGTAGAGCACTTAATAGCACAGTGTCTCTACAGTATTAAGCTAACCATACACATATTGTACATTTTTAATAGTCTTAGAAGGCATAGGACCATCGCTCATATGTCACCATTTACAATTTAGACTCTATACTACCTACCAACAATGGAATGACAATCTGTATAATATTCGGAGTCTGTGGCATCGCCTGCCGGGGTCACCTCACGTCGGATCCGGGGCTTTGCCCTTGCGCGCCGCGCTAGCCTGAAATGACACAACTCCTGCCATTCAAGAATGTTGTGGTTTGACCTCATAACAGTACTTCAAATTGCAATATTATTACTAGTTTATTACATACTCGACCGCCTCTGTAGCCAAATGGTTAAACGTGTTGTCTAGCATTGCGTTACGCGCGAGAGGTTCTGGGTTCGAATCCCAGGGAAACAAAATACGATTCGGTTGGGCAGAGCACAGAAATCTTATCAACTGTTCCGTTCTTTGACTTGCCTGTCAAAGAACGGATCAGTAAAACAGACGTAGAAATGTGTTCGCCCCATACCCCACAAGGGGAAACGGGATTTCACACACATCACATACTCATTTTGTGTGTAATACAATTATAAAAGCTACCAAAATACATAATTTTAGCCACCTTACAATGCTGATGAGTAAAACACAAAATAATTATGCAATATTATATGACAGTATACTGTTATTTTAAATGCAATGACTGATGTGTTATTTAAGGCAATAAAAATGCTAGGTACCTAACTCTTAAAGGGTCAACCGTATTTTTATTTCTTCTTTAATGGCAGGAGTTTTATTTTATACATAAATACATGTAATGTTATAATGCTATAAAGAACTAAATTGTTAAATAAGAAATGGCTCTTCTAATTAAATGATGGTATTTGCAATATGTTAAACGTTGCTCCCTCTAGTATTTTTAGTGTCGAGTTGACACTAAAAATGCTAAAAATTCAGAATTAAACATTTATTTAAATACTTTGACTTTGACAAATTCAGAATTAAATATTTATTTAAATACTTTGACTTTGACAAATTCTGAATTAAATATTTATTTAAATATGTTGAATTTATTGACTTACGTTTCCTTCTGTAGTTCTCTAAGGGCTTCCAACTCGGCTCTCATACTTGATACTTGCTTGTCCAATTTTGCCACTTCACTCACTATAAGTTTATTAATGTGTTAGGAATAACAAGTACTCAAATGTAACCCTCATTTAAAAATAAGAGCTTTACAAGAAATTTTCTATAAATAACAACAAACATTGTGTTGACTTATGTTTCTTATAATACTTAGTTAATATGACTAAAAACCAAATTAGAGTAATGAAAAGTTGTCCAAATTATATAGTTCATATGACACTCAACAATGCTAGAACAATGTTCATATGCACATAACATTTAACAGTAGGTGATGATAAATGTATGCCTTTCTTTGTGGTTTGTTATATTATCTAACTAATAAGTTCAAAACTAGGTTATAATAAAATCTGCTGCATTTTAGTTTAGTTCTCTAACTTACCTAACATAGCTCTCCTTTTCTCAGCATATACTTGTTCATAAAGAAACATACCAGCAGCACCAACAAGCCCCACAATAGCTGCCCCCATCATCATACGAGGTGATAAATAGCTGTTCATATTTGGTTATTTAACTTCAGGAATACGTTCTAAATTACTCCCACTGTATATATATTGTTATAGAGCGATACTGTAATTGTCGTAAGTGAAATATGCTTAGATCATTATAATATAATCTAACGTTTTATCGTGGGCAGCAATTGGAACGTCTACTGCTTAACTATCTGAGATTTTGCGATATATTTGAACACAAATTTTGAAATCAATGATATTCAACAAAAAGTGAAAACAACAAATATATTTAATTCAAAGAGAAATCGTAGAAACTCATGTGAAACTTGCACTAGAAATATGTTCTTTGAACTTGCAGTTCACGAGGATCAAAATATTTGTCGAATGTCATTACTAACTATCAAATGTCACCATTTGATATTCGTGTCAATGTAATTATACAACTAATAAATGTCAAAACTCTTTTAACCTTTCAACGGAACGGATGTCATATTTGACGTATTGCAAGATAAAATTGAAACTTTGTTTTTAATTTTGTGTTTTTTGTGCTGCGGTGTGCCGACTGCCGAGTGTTGTTGCAAAATAATGTGGATATTTGTGAAGTAATAAATGTGAATTAATTTACCTATTTGTGACTCGCAAGGGCGAGTCAATATTGAATTATGATACTTCAAGTGCATTTGGTTGTTGTTTGTTAATATTGCCCTACCAATTCGCCAAGTTCTTATAAAAATGAGTTCTAATTATGAAACTAAAGACTCTGCCACTCCACTTGCTGAAACTAACGTAAAAAATGTTACCGAATCGTCTAAAGACGCACCTTCGTCGGAAGCGACTAGTGGCTGTATTGATAACGACCCGGTTTCCCATTCCCAAAACACACAAGATCTACCTAAGTTCTCTATATCTGGCCAAGGTAATTCGAAAGTCTCTGTACAAAATTCTGAAAATGAAGATGAGTTTGATGATCCCAACCTGGATGATGATGAAATGGTTACCGTTACTAATTTATTAGCAAATGAGATAGAACTATTGAACAAATTAGAGGAAGATGAAGAAGTAAGTATACTAGGGCAAAGAAACAATTCTAAATCTGATGACATTAGCAGCAACAACCCTGATGAAGTGATTGACTTGAATGATTCTGGTAGCATAAATATTGGCGTTGATAATGAGTTAGATGAATCAAAACTTCTAATGGATACGGATGAAGAAATGGTGAATGACACTGAACAGCCTTTTGACAGTACAGATCAAATAGAATCACCTAAGAGAACATTGAAGGATCCTAATATTATGTTAGAGATACCTGTAGATTTAGACTTAAGTGATGATGATTGTCCATTAAGAGAAAGTTGGAATATATTTAATAAAAAAAGTAAGTCTTCTCCAGATAACATTGCAGTCATTGATAATAATATTCATAAAGGTGACAGCTCTAATAATGTTGAAAGTCTTTTACATAAGTCTGTCAAAGATGAAGAATTGACTCTTGACCATGAGGTTCCAATCCCAAAAAAAGAAAAACCACTGGTTGTTGAAGTAATTGAACTGTTAGAAGATGATGATATTACAGAACCTGAAGATATTCCGAAAAAAAAATTATTATCAGAAGAAGAAGAATTGCAAAATGCTGTTCAGGGCATTGAAGCTGACATGAGAGAACCTTCAGTTGATATTATAACATGTGTTAGTATTTTAAAAGATCCATCTGAAAATATAGTTCAAGGTCAAGAATCATGTGAAATTAAAGAAAATATTGAAACAAAATGTCTTCTCGAACACGAACATGAAAACACGTATTTGAAAGACTCAGCAGATGTTGTCAATGATGTGTCTAATAATGTGTAATTTTGTTAAAAATGAGAAAGAATCTCTATCATTATCTACAGTTGAAACAGAAAACCTGATGATTAGTGAGACCCTTCACAAAACATATGAGAGTCTGCAGGATGTTGATACTGAAAAGGATATAAAAGATTCTGAGGTGGAAATCAGTGATAAAACTAAAGAAAATTCTGATCAGGATAAGATGGAAGATATCATTGATACAACAATAAAACAATTAGCAGAAGATCTTGCTTCACCTAAAAAATGTACTGTAGGCACACAAGATATTAAATGCATACTAAATGCAACAACATCTTCTACTAATAACCTAAATTACTTAAATAATGAATCTTCACTTAATATACATAGTAAAATGACATCCTTCCAATCTCAGTTTACAGAGGAAGCCACAATGCCAGAATCTAATAACGTTAATAAATTTAAAGACAGTGCAAAAACTGATGCAACAGAGACAAGAACAGATGATATTGAACCAAAACCTTCTACATCAAAATTAACCAATAGCGGTGAACTATCGACAGAGTCATCAAAACCAGATGTAATTAAATCAAAGCCAACAGGAAATTTACTGGAAAAAGATGTGTCTGCTCAACCATCTACTTCTACAACTGAGGTGGACATGGAGGCTGTAGATAAACTAAGTATTGAGAAATCTAACTCAGAAGCCCCATCAGCTTCTAAAGAAACTGATGAGGGCATTGAGCAGAATACATCTGACAGTCTAGGCTTGTTAGCTGAGTCCTCAAGAATAGTAGTTGATGATGAGGACCAGGAAGAAGAGGAAGATGGGGATGATGAAGAAGAATTTGACCCTGATGATGGTATGTTAAAAATTTAAACCTACAATATTTTGTAAATATGAGAACAGAGAAAGTAACTTGGGCAGACATATATATCAAGTTTAACACTAGCTAGTGTCTGTAATTAAAATATATTATTGATTTAAATTGATGATTGAAAATAAAGAAAAGTTGCCAGTTTTCTGTTCTCTCTAACACCTTAGTGCATCTACAAAGTTTTAATAAATGTTATTGCGAGGGTAGATCATCTTTTATTAAAATCATGAGACCAAATGTCATTCTAATAAAATATTCTGTTAGATCTTATATATATATATGCTAGATTTTTTTTTCAATCTACCCTTAGCACTTACTACTTTACAGAAAGCAGCAATCAAATGACAATAGACCAATCTGAAGACTCTAATACTCATCAGTTTGAAAGTGAAGTAAAGAAATCAGCAGCAGGTGACAAGATTGATGAAATTGGTGATAGACCCTTTGAATTCAATAAGGATAATAACGATGAAACCGTAAGTTTCCTGGCTTACAAAACCTCTTAAGTGTGTTATTGTCGGTTATTATTTTGTGGTAATTGTTCTATTAGTTGCTGGTTTTTTACCAGGGTTTGAATTTAGATCCCGTTACACCAATGTTTCTATACAATTTTACTCTTATAAATTGTATTTATAATTGATATTTAACTTAATTTCAGACTGAAGACAATATTCACGATATAGTTAACGAAAATGAAGACGAAGACGAGGTGGTGAGTTGTCTTAAAATGAATAAAAAATCATAATTTGCGAGTACATATACAGAAACGATAGATATGTACTACGTGTACATTAAACATTTTTCAGAAATAAATAATCTTCTAATGAAAAGAGCAAGTACGTTGTCTCTGTATATTTAATATTATGATGTAGAGCAAAACAAAGAAACAAAATTATTATCTCATTCTTCTTTCCCTTATAGACCGTTGAAGCTCAAGATTCCATTGACATTGTGGATCATGATGAAAAAGAAACAGGTGAGTTATTCTTATCACCTATTTTCGTATGTATGACGACTAGCAAGCATAGCCTTCACTTGATTAAATTGGTAATACCCTAACTAAATAATAACATACAATAACACTACATCTAATTAAGATGTGGTGTACCTATTTTCGCATTGGTCATTTGTTAAACTACAGACTAAATCAAAACACAGATGGATTTCGTGGCTTTTCCATCTATAGACTAGGACTGGGACCGGGACGAAATATCAATATTCAAACCGTTTAATGTCCACATTTTCCAGACAAAGTCTAACATGACACTTAATATGGTCCAAAAGTTTAATATATCCGAATTTTTGTACGATTTCCAGAATTGGCAGAGTCCAGAACATCCCCAGAACCTTCAAGTAACGACCCCCAAACAGGCGTTGTTAATTTAGACTCCGAAGACGGTGAGTGCCACAGCATTATGTACTGTCGCTTACGCGTTGCGTTTAAAACATTTCACGTTTTTAACAGTTTAATTTTTTTTTTTAAATCGCATAGTGGACTGCTTAGCTGTGTAGATATCAAAATTAAATAAAATGTATAACAGAATAGAAGTGCGAGATTAGTTTTATTTTCTTTTCGATTTTATTATAAGTTTTATCACTTACAGAAAGTCAAGACATATCAGAAAAAAAGGCAAACGTCACATCAGTGAATCTGCCCGCCGATATAGATGTGATCGCGTCGCATTCCATGAAAATCAGCACTGAAATTCAGGTTAAGGCTGGAGAAATAATTATCAGTGGACTCACTAAACCGTCGCATGTCAAAGTAGTAAGTGATAGAAGCTGTTATTTCTTATTAGAATTGGTTTTATTATCCCCCCCATCTGGGGAGGCGGGGATATTGGGCCAATGTTATGTTTAGTTATCGTCTGCTGTAATATAGCATTTTATGGCCAATAATCAATTGGTCCCGAGTTCGATCCCCATCGGATACAACATGTATCTACATCCATATAAGTGGAAACATGTTGGACTTCATCTCAAAATCTGTATAATAATTGTATTGCAAGATTCGAATTTCTATTCGGGTACCAGGTAAAAAATCGGAAACAAATATCAACAACTCGTATTTCTGAAACTAGATTAGTCTGCCTTGGCACGCTAGATCAGCTTAAGTAACTAACTAGTTCATTATCATATATTACTTACTTAAAAAGTTAAATACATTTTTGTTTTAGGCTCGCCTAAACACAAGTGAAATATCAATAACGACGGTAAGTATTCATTTAAAAAATAAAAATATAAATAAAAAGGATGAGTCACCACCAAATTATTTTTCCAGAAAAAGATACCAGCGCCTGAAGTGTACGACTTGGACTCCGAAGATGAAATGGAAACGGATAACCGAGGTTAGAAGGAATATTTGCATACTTAAACATTAATTAACTAATATATTGCGTTTTAAACGGCTAAAAATATTTAAACTGTGACCCGCGTAACTGAAGATATATCTAGGTTTTTCTGTGTTTTACGCGAGTAGTACACACTAATCGAATGGAAAACAATTGGTTTAATTACAATATTTTTTAACTCTAAAACAACCCCACGGTGACATGAAATTGACTAGGTCGATTAGGGCACGAAACTCCGATTTACTGTGCATGACAGATCTTAAATAAAACTATAAACTTAACTCTTTCTATACGATTCTCTTTTAATAATCTTTAAGATATGCCCGAAGACACGGAAGAAGTACGTGATATCTTTCAGTCGAAGAAGAGAAGAAAATGTGTTAACGATGCTTGCCCTAAACTATGTGATACGTTCCTTTTGGCTGACAACAGTACCATGTCGTTCTACAACGGCAAAAATCGTCATTATGTGTGCGAGGACTGCGCGTACGCCGTACATCAGAGGAATGAGGTAAGATAATCTTAGTAATAGTAAAAACTAACAAAACTTAAATGAAAAAGACCGACTGCCCCATCTGGACACAATTGTGTCCTTCTATCGTTGTGGATTACATTCTACTGCAGAGTTCAAGGTCCAGGCAAGCTTTTGCCAACCTATTTTAAACATTTTTTTTGTTAAAAATAGAGTAGCTATTAAATTATATTTTTGGTCTAAAAATGTTAGTTGTAATTTCAGAAATTAATTGAGGGCATCCGAAATTTAGAAGATCTGCTATCGTTAGACTTTGGGAGGGATTCTAAGGACCCCATCGAAGTGTTGGACTCTGACTCTGATGAGGAAGTGGACCCAAAGGATCTGGAGGATCAAATAATCGGAGTCAAAGGGGCTAAGTAAGTATGGATGAAGTACGGGGATCAGTTTGACATGAGATCGTTCTTCTAAAGGCTTTAATTAAACCAAATATAAATGTATTGTTGACCTATCTTATTAACTGCCAAAATACTTTGACTATATCAATAGTGTAATGCGTACTTTATAAAATATCACGGACCAATAGTCGTTATGGAGATCGTATGGGAACCGAAGAATACTTAAGCATTTTTGTCTGTAGCTTCACAACGCCCGGTCAAACTAAAACTAAATTTAAATTAGTTAACTAATTTATTTTGCGTTATTAAGTGTGTTTTTTTTTTAATTAATATATTATTTATACGTTTAAGTTTTTCTATCTAATTTCTTACTAAAAGAGCTTTTCGTGTAGGTTTGTTGAAGAAGAATTAGTGGTCATGATTAATGAGCAATGGGAGAAATACAAAATGGACTCCCGCCTCTTGGACAGTGTTGAAATAGTGAAGGATCAAATGGCTGAATTGGAACGTGAGGTTTTTGTTTATTATCAAATTTATCTGGATTTTTTTTTATGATAGAGGAGGACAGACAAGCGAAAGACATAGATGGCCCAGCCATATAACATCCAATATTTTCGGAAATCTACAGACTGAAATCGAAACGCGATTAAATTTCGCTGCTTTTTCATCTGTGGACGGTGGTTCGTGACCGGTAATTTCGATATTCGTACGAATACGTTCGATATCGTATTTATTATCCGGTACAACAATTAATTCAGATTAATTAAAAACATTTTGGAACTTGTGGGGATCGAACCAACGAACGTTGATTATTAGCCATACATTGCCACCATTAGACCAACGAGACCGTCCAAAGGTGTGGAAATCGAACTTTGTACCTTTCGCGCACTCACAGAGTCACCCTTCGATTGTGGTAATTGAGTCACCAACACAATTAGTTTTATATATTCACCGGAATTCGTTGTCTCTTTCCCACAATCTCATATAAAGAAGAAGGACACAATTATAACTGAGTTAAATCGTTTTGGTATATAATTGTATACTTTGACAATATATTATTCGATTTTCAAATAAAACATCAATATTAAACAAACAGGACAGAGCACTGAGTTGGACAACATGTTGAAGGAATGCCAAATATCGACCGACAAGTTCCGCAACGAGTTGTACGCCACGTTTCAGCCGGAAATAACTAGTCTACCCGCAATAAGCATTGTCGATACGCCGATCACTGATGTAAGTAGCACAAAGACACTTTGAACCTTAAACTATTGGCGTTAGACTCAATATCGTTTAGGGAAGGTTACTTTTCATTTATCCCGAACCAAACATGATCAACGGTCATTTATTCATTAATAATAAATAACTATTTTTGTGTCTATGTTTTATGCTAAAAATACCAACAGACTAACTAAAAATACTATACAGGGTGTCCCAAGAAGTAGTGTCAAGCGGAAGTCCAAGATAGAACACCCCTTGGAGCATCCGAAACACCCCCATGTATATTCTGCGATTATTTATAGTTTTCGAGTTACGAATTTTCTTCTAAAATTTTGAGAGTTTTTGACCTAAACAACTAAAACGCTAATTTACAAAAGGTGATAAGACTTTTTCTAGATTTCTTTTTCACAGCTTAACAAGCATGAGTTGTACATTAATAATTAAAACATTTGTCTTCGTAACCTTAACGGAAGTTAAAAATATGATGGTTCAAAGTGAAAAAGTTACGAGACGTGAACTGCGTCTTAAAATTTCAACTTTAAATTTAAAATATTAATAGGTAGCTTTGTAGCTCATAAGTTAGTTTAAAAACTGCGCCAGACTCTCAGCTTTCATTATCATTAAAAAAAAGGATTACGCTACTTTTGCTAATACCGGACCTCAAAGGCAGATAGGTGTAAAAATGTAATAAATAGTCATTTGGCAACGAGATTGTTTTCCTATTCTTGAAGTTAATTTTTAAAATTAGCAATATGATTTGGAACCTTTTTAAACATTTTATTATTTCTGTAGACAATTCGATTGTTAACTAACTAAAATCTACTGAGGGAGCGCTAAATAGCAAACATCTGGTTTTTGTAAAAAACAATAGCACAGCCAGATGCAAGTGTCAGAATTTACTACCTGAGTTAGTTTACAGGGCGGCCACAAAGGGGTGAGGCGGGGGCAAAGTGTGCATAGTATTGTGCCTACCTATCCAGTCGTTTGCTCGCCTTTGTGCCGTACGATAAGCTTTCTCAACGGAATCATCGAGCTCATTAATTAAGTAGACCATGCCTTTTACATCAAGAGATTATACTCTTATGCATTACTTTTACGGCTATGCCAGAGGAAACGCTTCGGAAGCTGTCAGGTTGTACAGGGAACAAGTAAAAAAAGGAGGTGGATCACAGCCTGAATTTTGGCCTGATCATCGAATGATTTTAAGAGTTCATAATTCTTATATGGAAGGACGTCTACCAGGCGATGAACTTCGAGATCCAGATACAGTCGAATCAGTCCTCGAAGAAGTGGCAGCAGATTCATCAATTGGTGTAAGAACCTTAGAACGTCGAATTGGAGTGTCAAAGTCTCAGGCACATCGAATACTACAGGTAGGGTGCTATTGTTTTTTTTACAAAAACCAGATGTTTGCCACTTAACGCTCCCTCAGTAGATTTTAGTTAGTTAACAATCGAATTGTCTACAGAAATAATAAAATGTTTAAAAAGGTTCCAAATCATATGGCTAATTTTAAAAATTAACTTCAAGAATGCAAAAAAAAACAGGGTGCTATTGTTTTTTACAAAAACCAGATGTTTGCTATTTAGCGCTCCCTCAGTAGATTTTAGTTACTTAACAGTCGAATTGTCTACAGAAATAATAAAATGTTTAAAAAGGTTTCAAATCATATTGCTAATTTTAAAAATTAACTTCAAGAATGCAAGGAAAACAATCTCGTTGCCAAATGACTATATATTACATTTTTACACCTATCTGCCTTTGAGGTCCGGTATTAGCAAAAGTAGCGTATTACGTAGTCCTTTTTTTTAATGATAATGAAAGCTGAGAGTCTGGCGCAGTTTTTAAACTAACTTATGAGCTACAAAGCTACCTATTAATATTTTAAATTTAAAGTTGAAATTTTAAGACGCAGTTCACGGCTCGTAACTTTTTCACTTTGAACCATCATATTTTTAACTTCCGTTAAGGTTACGAAGACAAATGTTTTAATTATTAATGTACAACTCATGCTTGTTAAGCTGTGAAAAAAAAATCTAGAAAAAGTCTTATCACCTTTTGTAAATTAGCGTTTTAGTTGTTTAGGTCAAAAACTCTCAAAATTTTAGAAAAAAATTCGTAACTCGAAAACTATAAATAATCGCAGAACATACATGGGGGTGTTTCGGATGCTCCAAGGGGTGTTCTATCTTGGGACTTCCGCTTGACACTACTTCTTGGGGCACCCTGTATAGTCCAGAGCTCGAATGTGAAAACTGTTTCGGTTGGCATAGGCACAGAAATCCGATCAACTAGTTGTTGGGCTATTACAGACACTTAATGTGTCTGTAAAAATTGGAATTAGATTTCTTTCTTTGGCTTTATTGATAGAAAAATATAATAATTGTAATTTATATTTTGTAATTTTGTAAAAATAATCATATTTAAATAAAACACTTTAACGGTTTAAAACGCGATATATTAGTTAAACTTATTTGAAAATTATTTTTAACTTCGGCCCGACGTTTCGGATGCTTTGCAGCAGCCGTGGTCACGGGGAGACCCGTGTCTCCCCGTGACCACTGCTACATTACAAATTATTATTAGTTAAACTTATTTGAAAAATAATTTTCAAATAAGTTTAACTAATATATCGCGTTTTAAACCGTTAAAGTGTTTTATTTAAATGTGTACTACTCGCGTAAACTATAGACAGTATTTAAAATAATCATAGTAAATATAAATAGTTGATATTATATCTAATAGATGATTTAACTTTTTCACAGTTGGTTACTAATCTCTGTTGTATATAATATACTAAAAAATATATATTTATTTTTCAGTGTGTAAGCCTCGAAACTACAATAGAGGTATGTTTATTATTATTTTGTTCATAATATTTCAAATACAACATTATTTCATTTGTCCCTAAGCCTACAACCCTAATAAGACCTATTAGGGACGTCCATTATTTTTATTTTCTCCATGACCACGGCTCCCGTATAGCATAACGTTGAGTCGTAATAGTAAGTAGTAGCTAATAAAATACTATATATTAATTTCCGCGTTTTACTTTTTTATATATTTGTCCCTTCAATATAATAAAAATTCTGTCACTATAAATATTTAAGTTGCTTGTTTTGTCACTTTCTAGACTCGCCAGTCAAAACGCCGCATGTCATCCCAAAGTGAAACGCCACCTAAACGAAGGTTGACACAATCGCAGACAAAAGTAAGACATATATCCTAATAAGGCAATTTCTATGTATTGTTTCGTCGAATATATTAATGTGACAAGTGGGCACAGGTCTCCTTTCCTCGGGGGGAGTAGATTAAAACTGAACCGAAACAAATAATCGAACGATTCTAGATAAGTTCTTAGTGTTTGAACCCTGGACTAATATAACCATATTTTATTGGTTTATTTCGTTTCCAGAGCCAAGGGAGCGAGGATAAGGACGATGACGTAAGTGGAACTAAAATAATAATAAATTCCATAGATTAATGCCATTTTTTCACGACAGAGGTCACAGTACCTTTTTTTTGATAATAGAGGAGGGCAGACAAGCATGAGGTCCACTTGATGTAAGGTGAATTACCCCAGCCATATACCATCTAAACTAAATGCGCAGTCGACCTATTTAGGCTTTACATATTCGAAATTCTACTAACTGAAACCGAAACGCGATTAAACTTCACGGCTTTTTCATCTGTGGTCCGCAGCTCGTGGACGGTACCCGGACGGAGTTTCGATTATCTCACCACCTATTTAATATCTGGATATTGTTGGACTTAGTCTGGAAGTCTGGACTTCCAGACAAAGTCCAACATGTTTCAGAAAAATTATGAATTTGTTAGTTACCCGGTGGAGATCGAATTCACGACCTGTTGATTATATGTACATTGCTACCATTAGACCAATGTGTAACTAATTGATGGTAGGTGGAATGCCTTAGCCTCTTATTAAAGTAATTTTGGTATTTGGGATTACACAGACTAGAACGCGTTAGTGGACGGCGGTGGTTTCGTGATAATTCTTCATTAAATGTCTAGACTTTACAGACGTTAGGTGTAATATGTTTAGATTAACGGTGGATCCAGGGGGGCGGTCATGGAGTCATGACCCCCTCCTGAGCTAGATCCAGGCTTCAGATAGACCACTAATTGAACATATTTTTTTATTTACAAATTATTATATGATGAATTCTTAGAACAATATATAAAACACCTCTTTCTTACTTACTAAAGAATTACCTTTTGGCTCGTCTAAAAATTTAATTTAATTTTGCCGCTTTAGAGTACTGTATATTTTTACCTTTTCTCTACAGAACACGGACATTACAGTGGTCCAATTGTCGACGGAGGAGGCGCCCCCGGATTTACCTCCCGCGGGAGAGATCAAACGCCCCCCCTTGGTGGCCGGAATGCCTGTGTTTGTGATGAGGAATATGTTCGGCACGTGGCAGAAGTCGCGGATCGTGGAGTTCCTTAGTCGTGGGGTATGTTAATTTAACACTACTTTGTTTAAAAAAATGCTAATAAAATATAGTACCAGTTACAAGATTATAAAGAAAAGAAAACAGAATAGTATGTTTCCAAAGATTTTTATTGCGGTCAAATACTTATTGTCTATAGTTAACCATTGTCTTTATACATGTACAAGCTGTGCCAGCTAATTGTCCCTGTAGAATGTTTATTTTGGGCATAAAAATCATTTTTACAAACCTCATCCTCATCTTTATAAATTACAACAGTTACCCAGTTGCGTAAGGTCATTTTTGCAAGTTCATCTTAAAAGATAGGTACAGTGTCGAGAACATTCATGAGCTCATTTAAAGAGGGAGTAGTTCCTGAGAATTTCAAACAAACAAAATATGTGTATATCAAATGATTTTTATCTTAGAACGCAGCACAGCATACGTACACAACCTGCCGTATAAAGTTCGACAGAGCTCAAAAGAATTCGTTCAAAGTGGTGACCGGTAGATATGTTGCTTACAGCGAACCAGCCAACGCTAGAATGACTATAGGTGAGTTTTTCAACGCCCATTTCTATACATTCAGTTATGAGACGTATATCAATGTGTCTGTTAAGACAAGCACGAGATTCACCTGTTGTGAGGTGAAAGATGCCAATCTAAACAAGCTGTCGATGTCCACCTATTTTGGCCTAATGCCACGTTGCGTTATTTATAAAATATTTTAAATTGAGGACTGACCTGAATATTTATTTAAATTCGACTTATTTTGCTGTAAACATTTTTTAATTTTAATTTGTTCCAAATATTGGTCTTAACATAGTTCTTCCTTATTCCAGGGACGCGTGTGATAGCTTTGTTCCAAGGCTCCACTGAGAACGAAGAAAAACAACGCGAAACGTATTATTCCGGTGTGGTGGCTGAAATTCCTAATCCGGTGAATAAATTCAGGTCTGTTCCAAACATTTACAACCAAATGTATCTAGTACATTGCATGTTATCTATTTATAGGAGGAAAACAGTAACCGTACAATAATTAAAAACGATTAATTGTAGACAAAAATTGGCCTTTATGGACCCTTGGGTCTCAAAGGAGTGAAAAGATTAAAACCTTCACTAACAATCACAGCCAAGTGTTGTATGCTATTAAAAAAAGCATTTTAACAGCAGTCCCCCCCAGTAAGCAGCCGTGGTTAGGGGGGACTGAAGATGGAGGTTGTCCCTAATAAATCTGCTACCCTAGCGCCATCTGTTTTCACGTAATTAATATTTGAAGACTACTAAGAGAAAACGGATGGCGCTAGCGTTAAAATAAATGTTAAATCAGTAAAATAATAAATTTCGCGGTTTACCCCGTTAAAAGTATTGTATATTATTAACTAAAACATGTGTATTAATTTTTAACTTTTATCCGACGTCCTGAGGAGATGTCTTTGGATAGTCTCTTTTAAACCTTTGTCCCTCTGCTAGGCACTAGTTAACTTTCGCATTGAGGGTTAAGAACTGATGCTATACGTTCGGAAAGCACGTACTACGTGGTTAATACACAGTGCGTGTTTTCCGAACGTGGACTGTCTCTCAATAAGCGGCAATAACCAGAATTGATTTAGCGTCCTCCTTAAGGAATAGTAGTGATCACAAATAAGATTTCCTGGCTGGAAATTTTCTCACAAAAATTCCAAATAGCAGAATCCAATAGAAGAATAACCCCACCCTGAAATTGAATGCCGGACCTCGTAATCTGCTGGAATCTGGAGTTCTACAAGATCACTCACAGTAATTACCTATCGTTCCAGATATTTAATATTCTTCGACGACGGTTACGCGCAGTACGCAAGCCACGCCAACACGAGGCTCGTATGCGAATACTCCGTCCAAGTTTGGGATGAAGTCCATCCGTTCTCCAGGTCCTTCGTGAAGGAGTACTTGCTGCATTATCCGCAGAGACCCATGGTCCGGTTGCGAGCTGAGCAGGTCATCAGAACTGAATGGAACGGTGAGGAGACTATGTACTTCAGCTTATTTTTTGAGCTGTTTTGGTAATTAAATAGCTCTTTTTTTGCCGTTACAAATGGATAGAACCCATTTCTCAAATACATTACAAATATGTATGAACAATACAGACAAACGTTAAGCGTCAATTGATGGTAAGACATAAATCTTATCTTTAAGCATTCTGAAATCTACTAATCGAGACACGTTTTAAAGCTTTATAGTTTTTCTCTTTTGATATACAGATTTTCCAGACGAAGTCTAACATGCTTTTTGAAACATAGTTTTCAAAATTCCGATGTGGTGGGAAACGAACGACGACCTGCTTAACGAACGAAAAAGTCCGTCGACTAAGTTCAGAAGAGTCATGATCCTAGTGGGAACACCACTAGGATCATGCAGCCCGTCGATTATTTACATCAATACCACAGATCTTTAATTTTCATCTTTATTAATTCACAGACAAATGGTGGAAATCGAAAGTGATAAAAGTTGACGCGTCACTCGTTCTGGTGAAATTTTTGTTGGAGAAGAATCGCGATAGACTAGAGTGGATATACCGTGGCTCGACGAGACTCGAACCCCTCTACCTGGAGATGAAAGCAGCTGAACGACATCGATCGAGGGCCATGCCACGTGCGCAAGCGCATTCTAGGGTAAGTCTCTTTGTAGCTTAATCTACAGCTTTTGTTTTTCTAGGACACTCTGTTTGCCACCAGACTGTGTCTCAAAGACCCCACTTGATATTAACATTGACGACTATACAATAAACTACCCATGGCCACGACCTCATCCGCGTACCATAGTCCTTTTGGGTTTTTCAAAATTAGTTTATGCAAACCTCCTCCTTGTCTTTATAAATTATAGCTGTTACCCACGAGGTCGGTCGCGTCGCGTCCGTCGTTCTGGCAAGTTAATCTTAAAAGATAGACATACTGTCGCGAACATTTTTCTAAATAATTTAAAGAGAAATAATTATTTCATACATATTCCTGGGTATCTTGAACCGTTTTCGCCTACACCATACCCACAAAGAAGAAGAATTTTCCCCGTTTTTTTTTCACATTTCCCACTCCTTCGCTCTTATTGGTTACGAAAGAGTTTTCAATTCGAACCAGCAGCTCCTGAGATTAGTGCGATCAAATAAAAAAGCTAATTAGCTTTATAATATAAGTATTCATTAATATTTAAGAGTGGCTTCTGAACAAAAAAAATGGCTTTCTGTTGTGAAATAATGGTAACAAGTATTTTAAATTACTACATATGGCTAGCGAAATTTCTGTGTCAACTGTTACCTATCAATGAAACCTCATTGCTCTACTCCGATTCGCACTTTTATATTGTAAATAATAAGTGTATAAAATTAATACAATCCTAATGTGTTTCAGTTAAATATGCCGATCGTGGAATACACCCGTTCGGATGACCAGATAAAGTCGGCTGAACTGCAGAATATAAGAGAACTAAATAATGAGGTAAGTTGTGAGGTAGTTGTTAACAATAAAATGTAGTATGAAGTTTTTAATTTGAACATTATTTACAACTGTGTAAGTCTTTCGCGGCCATTGTGCAACGGTTCGTTTGGTGCTTGCACATGATTCTTATATCTCGATTACGATAGTCGAACCGTTTGGAACCCAAAGAACTTTGTTCATAATTCTTACGAAAATCCTTAATTTTACTTGTAGGAAATTCGCCGTCAACGTGCAGTGGCCAAAAAGTCAACGTCAGCGCAAGCGCAGCAAACGCCACCGCCATCTGTCAAAGTTGACTTTAACAGCAGAGTTGTGGTAAATGCTAACAAATTTTTATTTCTTTTTTGCTTATGTAATTAATTAAAATATGTTATTATAATAAAAGTAGTTAATACAATTTTAATAGCACGTGGTAATTAACTAAATTAAATTTAAGTACTGCATTGCGATTAATTTAATTATTAAATTGAACCAAACAAGTTTGCTTAAAAACACGAATGTTAAACTTTTGTCTAGCTAAAAATGTATTCTGTTTTTATATCTGTTACGCGCTTGTTAGTAGCGAGTAAATATTAAAGAATGGTAGGGGTAAGCGGCAGACATATTTTTGTACCCGTTTTCAGCAACAATATTATTTATAGGCAAGTTGTTAATCTTGCTTATGCCTATCCCTGCATTACCACAAGTATGTTTTCTCGAGATTCGAACCCATACACCATGATACAAAAATCAACTGTATCATTAAAATACATTTTTCATTTGTTATACAACATAACAGCTTTACATATATTAAACATCTATTGAACATAATCTAGAACACGGTAGCGGAACTCCGTTGTCGTAGGTTCGAGTCCCATCAGTGTCAGTGGATATTTTCATTTTTTTTTTTAATCTGAATTTTTTTTAACACAGTATTACACGCCAAAGAACGCAGTGCGGCCGTTCAAAATCACAGATATCCACATCTGCAGTCCAGCTTGCAAGCGAAAAGACGTTTTGGCTCTAAAAGAACTTAGGACTTATAATCCACTTAGTAAACCGCTGCTCAGCGGATGGGAGAGGTAAGGAAATAACTATTATAGGAAGGGACCATACACTTTAAATAAAACAATTTAAACGGTTAAAAAAGAGGAGGCCTGTTGTTATCGATTGAGCTACCTTGCCGTATCACAAATCTATACTAATATATGAAGCTGAAGAGTTTGTTTGTTTGAACGCGCTTATCTCAGTAACATGGGTTCGAATTTAAAAATTATTTTTGTTATATTAATTATGTTAGTTAGAGCATTTATCGAGGAAGGCTATAAAACATCGTCCTGTGACTAATAGGAACGACAACGAGAAATGTGACAAAAATTTAGAAAATTATTCATTATTATGTTATGGTTTCCGAGGCGTACGCTGTAAAAACGGTTCAAGAAACCCAAAAAATGTGTATAAAAGAATGATTCTCTATCTTTTAAGATTATCCCGTAAGAATGACGGGAAGGGACGCGACCGACGTTGTATAAACTATTCTACGCGGACGAATGATTTGTTTATTTTTTATCATTAATCTCGATTTCCAGGCAACTCGTCCGCTCCAAGAACGACAAACGGGTGATGTATCGCGCGCCGTGCGGCCGGCGCATACGCAATATGGACGAGCTGCTGCGCTATCTGCAGACGATCCAGTCGGACATGGGCGTGGACCTCTTCGACTTTGGTCCCAGCACGCACTGCTTGGCCGAGTTCATTATCGACAAATTCATCGTTTCTAAGAAGGTAAACGAAATTTATATTTTACTAGTTGTGCCCGCGACTTCGTTCGGTGGAATAGTGACTTGGGGTAGAATTTTTAATTATTTAGGCCGTTTATTAATTTATGTAAAGGCGCATTTAAGGTAGCTCACCTCACATCACTCCTTCTCTAACTTCCACTCTCATTCCTACACTCACTTACACTCTCACTCCATTCCTAAAAAGCCAAAGAAGAAAGTTTCATTGTTCTAGCTTCAAACCACGAATTTCCGTACGAACTTTCATTCCCTTTTTCAAGCCCTATCAACCCTGTTTTGGCATTTAAAATAGGGCCTATGTCCTTTCTCAGGCAATTTCATTTAAATCAGTTCAATAGTGTCGGAGTTAAAGCCGGACAGATAGACAGACAGAGTTACTTTCGCATTTAATTTTTTTGTATAGATTGGTTTAACATATCCCACTAGTAAACTTTTGTACTGTATTACTTAATTATTGTAAATAAATTTTGTAAAACTAAAACTTGACAATAAAAGAGTGGCGGCGAGTTTCTTGCTGGTTAATTCTCGTTAGTTATGCTTCAGTTTGTGAATTATCAGCAAATGTTGGATTCTTCCATAATATCTACTTCTATATATAGCTGTACCAACGACTTCGTCCGCATTGACATCCGTGTTACAGTGACAAAAATGAGGACGAGATCTTTATAGATTATAGCTGTTAAGCTTTATAGATTATTACCTACAGAGTCGTTCGCTCTTTAAATAATTTAAGTAAGAAGCATTCTTTCATACATTTTATTTTGTTATGTGTATCATTTTCGCAGCACACGCAACGGAAGCCCTGCAAGATGAATTAATTTCTTGGTCTTCTCCACATTTTTCTCTATTTGTGTTCCTATTGGCCGCAGCGTGACCGACACAAATATATTTTTCAATTCCGTCCAGTAGAGTATCCTAAGATTAGCGCATTCAAACAAACGAACTTTTCAGCGTTATAGAATTAGTATAGTTGTGCCCGTAGAAACTATTTCCATTGTTTGCCAGGATCTCTCGCACGGCAAAGAGAACGTGCCCGTGCCGTGCGTGAACTACTACGACAGCTCGCTGCCGGAGTTCTGTTCGTACAACACGGAGCGGACTCCCACGGCGGGCGTCCCGCTCAACCTGAACCCGGAGTTCTTGTGCGGATGCGACTGCGAGGGAGATTGTGAGGTACCATAATACTGAATTCATTAGACTCTAAATTAATAATCGTTTATAATTTCTCCCGGGCGCAACTTGAACACGCATCTTCATCGTCATGCTGTTGCTCTAACGAATTGAGCTGCCGAATCCTTTTCATTAGTTTCTTTCAAATCTTCCAACAGAACCAACAAGCATGTGGTTCACAATTTTGAAATTTAGACATTCTACAGACCGAAACGCGATTGAAATTCACAAATTGTTTGGACTTTACGCCATTCGTGTAGGTAGATTAAATGTTCCATACGAAGAAGTTAAACTTTACAAAATGATTTAAAAACGTGTTATAATATAGGAATCGAACAACCATTAGCCATTGCTAAAATTGAACCAACAAAGGTTTTAAAGTCTTGAGATTTTGATATCCCTACTATTTTAGTATATAGATCTTTCTCGAAAGCTATATCTGAAGTTTTTATTTTCTCTTTATATCTTCCTCTCTTTCATTTAATTTTACTCTGAAATCTGAATATAGAAGGGTAACACAATTTAGATTGACAAATTGAATCTAAATAAATGTTTAATTACGAAAGATTATAGACAAATATTTGTACATATTTTTTCCTTATTGCTTATTTAGTCACACTACCAATTATATTTGTTTGATCACAGGATAAAAGTAAATGCGCCTGCTGGAAGATGACGCTAGAGGGAGCGCGGACTATCGGGTTAGAGGGAGAGAACGTGGGCTACGCGTACAAACGACTACCAGAGCCATTGCCTTCCGGGATATATGAGTGTAATTCTAGGTGAGAATCATTCGCTCACGAACGAATTGAACCGGAAAGAAAACTTCGTTCGTGGATTATTTTTTATACCGTAAACGATTTTTAAAGCTCTGGACTGAGAAATACAATCTCTCTGACATGGTCGTTGTGTTGCAGTGATTATGTTTACAGGCTAACTGTGTGCTGTTTAAGTAAGTAGTACGCATTTAAATAAAACACTTTAACAGTTTACAACGCGATATGTATTAGTTAAACACATTTGGAAATTATTTTAACGACGGCGAATATAATGTGATTAAGAATATTTGTAATTGTTCTCTATAGCAGTGAAGGAAATAATAAACGGACACATTTTTAAATCTTTTCAGGTGTAAATGCAAATCGACGTGTATGAATAGAGTTGCACAGCATCCTCTGCAGTTAAAATTACAAGTAAGGATCCATGTTTATCTATACCATTTCCATGCGGACGAACGCACAGCTAGTTATTTGATAAACGCAATGAAATGCCGTGTTGGCGTTCAGATCAGGTCCTGGGTCAAAATGTTCTGGTATTCGGTGTTTTCTTTTAGTACACCTAAAGCCATATCGCACCAAAGCAGGTGCAAAAATCTCTCCCCTGTGAGATCATATCAAATTTATGTTGTGTTTCATGGTTTATCATTCAACGTTAGTATTACAAATGCGTAAGGAATTTGAAATTGAAAATTGGAGGTGAAAGGAGCAGCGGGGAGTTTTTTGCCAATTCTTTTCCTTCTATTCTAGAAGAATAGAGTAGTGTGATCTATAAGTATAGCTAGGTAACAAAGTGAATAAGTGATTTTTGATTGAGTTTTTATGCTATTATTAAAATGCTAAATTATTTGTCGATCTAGGTATTTAAAACGCTGAACCGCGGTTGGGGTATTCGCGCTCTCAACGACGTGCCAAAGGGTTCCTTTCTCTGCATTTACGCGGGAAATTTGCTCACAGACGCCACGGCTAACTTGGTAAGTTCACAACATTGAACGCCTCCTTGACTCAATAGTTATTACTCACAAAGTTAATAACAACGGAACATGGGTTCAATTACTAACGGGTCCAGCGTTGTGAAAATAACTCAGATTTTCTTTAACAAGTCTCATTTGTCGTTCAAAAAAATATTGTCATATCGAAATTATGACCCAGTCTTTCACCAGCGTAGACATCAATAACGACTTCCATATATAGAAAAGATGTCTAGATTTCCAAGAAGAAGCCAAAATATCTTATCTACATCTTGAACGGTTTAAAACGATTGTAAAATAGTTAAACTAGTACATTTCGCGTTTTAAACCGTTAAATGTAAACTACAGTATCTTATCTATATATTTTGTGGCTTTAATTTTTATTACAAACTGTGTTAGCTTCATATTAGTTTTTTTTTATATACACTAGACTTCTTATGTTGGTTATACGAAAATATCATTAGTTGTTCTTTTTGTATGACAAAGGGAGACTGTCAAGTACCCAATACCTGACACTCCACCTCCACTTGGTAAAAGGTTAATTATGAATCTAATTGTTAAATTTTTATGTCAAAGTTGTCTCGTACTACTAAACTATTTTATAGGACGGTCTAAACGAAGGTGACGAATACTTGGCCGAGTTGGATTACATCGAAGTCGTAGAACAGATGAAGGAAGGTTATGAAGAGGACATACCCGAATCTATTAAGGCTCTGGACAAGGTAAGTTCTTTTTAGGTATTTAAAAATAGTTTCGCAAGATCTACAAAACCAAAACGATACCAAATTTTAAGAAGAACAATACCGACATGCCATACTGGGGATCTTACAAATTGGTTTTAAAATCTTTCTTATTATCATCATAGTAACTACCTAAATAAATACCTCTTGCTTAAGTAATTTCTTCTTTTTAATAGTAAATAATTATCACCTTCTCATCGTACAGAAGGAAAGCGACAAGACGTCAGAAGAGAGCGAGAGCGAAGAAGAGGAAGAATCGGAAGAAGAGAAGGCTAAAAACGAAAGTGAAGACGACGATTTCAAGCCAGCTCCCCGATGTGTCATTGGTGGAGCGCAATTCAAGTTAGTTTTATTTTGTATCCATTGTCTTGTTAGGTTCGTGTCTATTTCTGGATCGATAACTTTGATATTATTATATTTGCGTTATATGATTTTTTGTCATCATCTATAACATCAAATTGCCGCCTTAATGTCCGTTACCATTCTCCTCCGAAACGGCTTAACTGCTTATTATAAAATTGTATAAGCGTGCAAGTTTAAGTTAGTTACTATATTTTTTTAAATATCCTTAATTAATAACATGATCAAGTACAAAACACGTAGATCCCAAAGTGTTTACTCTTTTTATATATGTCTTTGTATATTCAGAAATCGATTGCAAACAAAACGTGATTAATCTTAACGGCTTTTCATCGGTGGTTCGCGACCCGAACGGAATTTCGATATTCCTATCATCCATTTAATGTCCAGATTTCCAGACGAAGTCCATGTTTCAGAAAATTATAAATTAATTAAAAACACTGTCTATAGTTTACGCGAGTAGTACACATTTAAATAAAACACTTTAACGGCCTCCCCGTGACCACGGCTGCTGCAAAGCATCGGAAACGTCGGGCCGAAATTAAAAATCATTTTCAAATAAGTTTAATTAATATATCGCGTTTTAAACCGTTAAAGTGATTTATTTAAATAATTAAAAACACGCTATACCTGGCAGAGATCGAACCCACGAACCGTTGGTTATTAGCAATACATTGCTGACATAAGACCGACGAATGCGTAATAAAATAATTACTACGTTATTTTACTTGATTTTGTCTATTATTCTTCAGTAAACGACTAAGGAAACGTAAGAAAGAAGAGAAGAAAGAGAAAAAAGAAGGACAAAATGAACAGAACGAAACAGCAGAGAAGAATACTGGAGCCAGCTGCATTACCATAAGTGACGATGAAGAAGGTATTCAATAAGTTTTTTCTCAGTTCTTTTAACTTAAGTGTCTTTTGTTTAAACTTTTATCGGAAAATACAGAGTCGACTCAAAAAATAAAAATTATGAGTAGCCCTTGTCTACAAAGGGATTAAAAAAATAATGTTTAATTATAAAACTTCCAGTTCGTGAACCATCAAGATTCAATGCAGCATCAGAAATCGGTGAAAATAATTACGTTTCTAAGTACAAGTGAGTATAATTATTTATGTATTGTTAGAATCTGGTAAAAAAAAGTCCGCGACAATATGTTTATCTTTTAAGATTAACTTTTAAAGACACGGGACGACTGGACGCGGGCGACGTCCTGGGTAACGGCTGAAATTAAAGATGAGGAGGGGGTTTATCAAAACAAATTTATTAACTAGTCCACGCTGACGCAGCTAGTGTTTTGTATTATTTTGAAAGTTGTGTACTCTTGCGCAGGTCTGTCCGTACCCTGTTCGGCGAAGACGAGGCGTGCTATATCATGGACGCCAAGGTACAAGGCAACATCGGACGATATCTCAACGTAAGTCAATTGAACTCTATTACTTCATTTAAATAGAGAGAGACAACACGACGTATAACGGGCCCGTTGGTTGATTGGTATTGTTAGTTATGTATGGCTAAAAATCAACGGGTCGTGGGTTACATCTCCACCAGGTTCAACACTTTTCTAATCTATTTTTTTTTTTCTAAAACATGTTGAACACAAACCAATTTCGTCGTTGTGAAGTTTAATCGTGTTTCGGTTTTACTCTGTGGCTCTCAGAATTATTAAAGCCAAAATAAGTCCACAAGACATCTACAGGTGAATCTTATGCTTGTCTGTTTTCAAAAGCCCCTGTTGTTTCAGCACTCTTGCTGCCCGAACGTGTTCGTGCAGAACGTCTTCGTGGACACGCACGACCCGCGCTTCCCCTGGGTGGCTTTCTTCGCCCTCACTAACATCAAAGCGGGCAAAGAGCTGACCTGGAACTACAACTACGACGTGGGCTCAGTCCCAGGGAAAGTTCTGTACTGCCACTGCGGCGAACCGAATTGCAGGGGCCGACTGTTGTAAATGGTATGACAAAATTTTATCTCGTGAATAAGATAGGTGAAAGTTAGAAAATAACATCGAAACAAGACAAAAGTATAAGGTTTCCAGCTTAAACTGAATATTTTCTTAATGAGCCTTGGCCTGAAGGTGTTAGTGTCGTTTTATTAACTATGGACCTGGATCCCATAAAGGGCTGAAAGATAATATACATAAATAGTTTTAATGGATAAGTCGTGCAAACTAATTAGCTTTAATTGCAGTCAGTTAGAGATGTGTCGATTATGTACGAATTGTGCCAAGTGGATATTTGTATGCTTCTGCCCACGATTTGAGTACTTAAACAAGATTGACGAAGACTTTGGTTGATGGGACTTCCGAGTAGACACCTCTGGTATTCTTAGAGGGAGCATAGGGGTGTTGATACTTTGGCGAAAAAATGCCTTTAGTTCTGTGAAGTGTTACATTGTGCGAGTGTGGGTGGCGGCAATTGAGTGATAGGGTGATGTTTCCTGTATTTCGTTATAGTGGATTGTGGTGAAAATCTGCTGAATTTAGGAGTGTTGGCGAAATAAATGCTATTGTTGAGAGCTCTAATGGAGTGTTTTATTTTAGGGGACTTTAATGCCCACCTGATGTATTTGGAGGGCTGTGACTTTGTAGTGAGCAGGTGGGTGGGGAAGGAGTTTTAGGATTGGTCGATAATTTTACTTTTATAAGCGATATGGAAGTACGAGGTCACCACGATGTTAGAGGGGTAAATGCGATTTAAGTGTTAACATACTCTAGACTCTGTGGTTGACCATTTACCACTACTAATAAACTGTAAATTGGTGTTTGGGATGGAGGTAGATGAAATAAGCAAAGATTTGGGGTGAGCGTAAAGTGAGAAATGTGTATGCGCTTTATGTAGTGTGTTGAAAGAGAGCTTCCCGAAAATAGTGGTTGTTGTACAAATGTGTAGAAATTTTAATAGAAATACTAAGATAATTTGTAGCGCATATTATAGACATTCTATCGGCGGCAGCAGAAAGCACATATTATTATAAAAGTTCTGTAAATAAGGGTAAGAAAACTGTGGTGGGGTGGAATAGGCATGTTTATCCGTTGCATAAAGAGGCACGGCATCATTTTCTTTATTGGAAGGCGCACGGGCGTCCAACCGCGGGTCCTCTTTATGATAACATGACGAAAACGCGGCGTTTATTTAAAGCCAAGTTGAAATGGTGTCAAAATAACGCAGATCGGATAGGGATGGATATTCTTGCCTCCCACAATACAAACAAGAACTTCAGGCAATTCTGGAAATGTACAAATAAGCTGAACTATAGGGCTAGTGTTCCCAGAGTTGGGTGGTGTTAGAACCGGAACAAATAGCAAACTTATTTAAAGAGCATTTTAGAGTCGAGCCGCCACCTGCATCTTCGGCGTCGGTGCTCGCTGCTGAGGCCTGTCGCGCTATTTCTAGCCCTCTGGGGTTCAGTTCGAGAGAGGTAGCTTCATGTTTAAAACGAATAAATAGGGGTAAATCTCGGGACACGATGGACTCAGTATCGAGCATCTGGTGATGTGGTGAGCACCTGCCTAGAGTGTTATCAATGTTTTAACGTTTTGTATAAGGCATCATATCTTCCAGGGCATGTATGAAACCATTGTTGTACCAGTAATCAAAAATAAAACGGGAGATCTTTCGCAAATAGATAATTAAGGCCTATCTCATTAGCTAGATAGTCGGAAGGTGCTGGACAGTCTGCTAATACACTTTGCAAACACGTAGATTAGATGACGCACAGTTCGGTTTCAGGCCGGGTTGTCCACGGAAAGTGCAATATTTGTTTAAGAGACGGTCCAGTACTACACCGCCAAAAGCACCTCGGTCTTTGGTGTTTTTTAGATATGTAGGGGTTTGATACAATTTCTTATGACCTTCTTATGCACAAATTAAGAACGAAGACAAGGGTTTCAGAGGAAGTTGTAGGAGTTTTTGATTATTGGTACTCCAATCAGGAGAATTGTGTAAGATGGAGTAATGTGGAGTTGAGACGTTGGGCTAAAGTGGGGGTAAGGAGGGGGGTTACATTACCTGTCTTTTCAACCTATACGTAATGACCTATAGAGCGTCTTAGAGAGTGGTGTAGGCTGCTCAATAGATGGAATAAGTGTGAAAACATTAATTATGTGATGAATGGTGGTAGTCCTGGTGAGGCCATCCGAAAGCTCTTAAAAATTGTGAAGACTTTGTGATGTATGGCTCAGCTACAATACAGCCAAAAGTAAGTTACTCGTTTTTCAATCGGAGGTGATAAGATAGGGTAGTTCTGCAATAATGTCAAAGGTGTACCACTACAACGAGTAACTGAGTATAAGTACTTAGGTATTGTGTAGGAGGACCTTTGGATGGAGCTGACCTGGAGAGAGAAAGGAGGGCTATGGGGTAAGGGGTAACATGTTGGCGTAGGTTTGACGAAGCTCAAACATTCAAAATCGTCTTATTTAAGGCTTATTGCCAATCATTTACTGTGAGTTATGGGCCTCCTTTACAAGAGAGCACTGCATGCTATTGTGTGCAATAAACAAGTTAGGTTGTTATTGGGTTGCAAGATACTGTAGTGGTGGGATGTTTGGGATGAGTAAGATGGTTTCCAGCCATCATCGAAGGTGTAGTTCCCTCATGTATGGGTTCGACAAAGCACCAATGGCATTCTGGGGGATTGTGTGAAAAGTATACGGTGGTAAAAATGGAGGATGTCTTAGCGCCTAGCACCTATTTATGTATTTTCTATTTAATTTTAGTGACTAACACATTCTAATATACATTTTAAGTTAAAAATTGTTACTAACCCAACTAACGAATTAGAATTAATTAATTATGTATATTTTAAAATAATGATGATATGGTAAAATAAATATATATATATATATATAATAATGTGAAAATCCGTAGTAATATTACAAATATAAATACTTTTCAACGGTTTAAAACGAGAAACGTATTATTATATTTATTCTGCTGTGAAACATCCTTAGCGTCGGTAGTTAAAATTGTAAATAAGTTGCTAATACATTTCGCATTTTAAAGCGTTGCGTGCAAAAGATGCACTGTCGTCCTATTTTTTCAAATTCTTAAATCCACAGACTGAAACTGAAACCACATTAATTCATGGCTTTTTCATCATTTCCAGATGACATCTCCAGACAATATTTTCTAGAACAGTAATCTATAAGAAATATGCTCAATTGATCAATATATGTATAAAACGGTGTTTCTTTTCAGGATCCTGAGATCTCCATTACAACTAGAACCCCTGCCAGTTAATGGTTCCATTTGAACCATCTCAGCAAGAACCATCTAGAGACAAATATGTTGCCTTTGTATCTTTCCTGGCCACGATAGCCGCTTCGTTTTAGTCAAACTTGACTAAATTTACAAGATTTAAGAAGAATCGAAAAATGCAAATTTTTGATCACATTGGCCTGCTCAATAGGCATTGTTAAAATATAGTTTTAGTAGTTATAAGTAGCAGCACGGATCTTTAGCGCTGAACGAATCCTTAGCAGAAGTCAAAAATGAGTATCGAGGGGACGGAAGCGGGCGCGGGGCGAGTGAACGTCAGGTGCGCTAGCATTGATTGGTTCCCCAGTCGTGTTGTCTCTCTCGGACCAATACGACGCTCCGCTTGCTTCTCGAGTTCAGTCACGTTATCCAATCAATTGCATGCTCGATTGTACCGATGCGCAACTATCCCCTCTACACTTCGTTCAGCTCTAAGCATCCGAGCCGCGACCTATACTTAACTATCTCGAATTGAATAAGTTTAGTAAAAGTATGATTAATTTCGAATTAAGTGTATAAAGGAAGTGTTGTTATTTTTAGCTCGGACTAGATTATGTTTATATTCTCCCGAGCTATTATCATTTAATATGTTACTAGGCGACCGAAAACTTAAACAAAATGGTGGATTACTCAAAATCAAAATTTAGCTACTTCAGTTTCAGAGATATTCAGTAATCCACTTTTATTTTATAAAAAAGACTGTATTATTAAATGTGTTTAAAATCAGTTAATACAGCGAATTATGCCAACTGCAATATAATGTTCATTAATTTTTGTATGCATGTCTCTTCTGATTTTGTTATGTGAATTGAAAATTAAATTAATTTTTAAACAGTTTTCTTCTATTCTCCTATTATCACAAAAGAGCCATTCGAGGGTATTTTATTTTTTTGTATAAATTGCCACTTTCAGTAAGAACTATTTAATAATATTAAATTCCTTCAAATGGATTCGATAAAATTTTACGTAAACTGAACTACTACAAATACTTGAACGTCTCTTATATAAATTTGGTATCCCACCTACAACCCCGGCATGATATAGGCAATGTTGTGTAGCGTGTCCTGAAGCAGGCGGGCGGGCGGCGCGATAGCTGGAACGGCACGAGTTACCGCGATCAGAGGTGCCAACGAGCACAGAAGTGTGTCAAGCAAAACGGACACAGATCCTGACACTGCTATCTGACCCTAAAAATTAACAATAATTTATCTTTATTAGGGGGTAACCTTATAAATGAAAGGACATAAAATCGTTCCCCCCTATCACTAACCTCGTGTTCCTTGAGCCTTTCGCCGATGATAGCCAGGCTCTCCCCCAAGAGTCGCAGATGAGCAGCGACTTCTACAGCCCCGCAACCTGTCACGCGGTACATCCCACTGTTGTTAGCGCCACTGCTGGTGCTAACGGGCTAAATGAACGAACAATACAATTACTAATTTCACTACATTGACCTATAGAAAATAAACACAAAATACTTAATAATCAATACATTTTTGACGGTTTAAAACCCGAAATAAATATATATATAGGATAGGTATCAAAGACCGCGGCTGCTAAAAAACAATCGAAACTTCTAATCATATAAAAATGTTTTACGCAATGCAATCTACTAAGAGTTATTCAATATAAAATGTTGACCGATTATTACTATTAGACATGGATATAAAACGCAAAATGATTTGCTGTTTACGCTTGACAATTATTTCTTCTTAGTAGAGAAATTAAAATCATATTATGATCATGTGATATCCATCCTTGAGTACCAAGAAAATATAATAGGGAATGGATGATTCGGACGATACTAATAGTTTGCTCCTCTACTTCATTGCTCAAAACTGATCAAAATAAGGCAGTACACTACTCCACCTAATGGAATATGAAATACTGTCATAGATATAAGACACATACACTTATAACTAGTGCTTGCTGCGGTGGCGTTGTCTGGACCGGTGGAGGTCTGTGCTTCGGAGGTCTACCTGGCCCAGCATGTTTCACTGGAGTTACACCTGTATTATTACATGTATATGTATTTATAAATATACAAGACTATAAATCCTCCAAATTTAGTTGTGTAATGGAAAAAAATTACCTTTAAATTATACATACGAGGGAGTTTGCATTTTATGTACTGTGTCATAGATGTTATTAATTTTAATCTCACACTAAAATTATAAAAACTCTATTGTAAGAAGAGCATAGAGGTAGACTACAATTATTCATTTCTCTGTACTTGGCCTAAGTAGTGAGTAGTAGCTTTAATAGGGAACATTATACTTACTAGGATTAGATATGATTTTGGTAGTTCCCTGTGCCTCTTGAGATTTCAACATCGCAAACCTTTTGGCTTTGCGCTTCCATAAATAACGTTCGTTATAGTTCACCTACAACAGTAACTGATTAATAAAACTGCAAACTATCTAATTATTGAAATTTAATAATTATGAAAAAATTATTTAAACCCAAAACTTGTTGACAATTAGCTATCACTACGATTAGACCAACGTGTTGCTCGGTAAGCAAAATATTGGCTGAATCCACTGAAATTTAAATACTGTTGCTACTTATAATGCCTTGAATTTCCCTAAAAATTATTATGTTATTTCTCTAACAGATATAATTATTATTTCATCAACTCACATTAGCCCACATCTCTCCCAGTCGCTTTGAAATAGCAGAGAAGTCCATGTCAGGATGCTTCCGCAATAATTCATTGCGAGCCTCTTTCGCCCACATCATGTATGCAGTTATGCGGGTTTTACCTATATTTATTATTCTAGATTTAAATATATCCTTCATAGAGACTAAGTACGACTCTTCTTAATTAGTCATCATGAACCACTTCTGTGGATGGTGTCTGATGGTTAAATGCTAGAGATGGATTAAATCCTAGGTAATATGAATAATTGGGAAGAAATAACAAAATTTACAAATTTTTTTCTCTTTCCTCATAACTAAATAAATATCACGTAAGGTCACATACTTCACCTACCCACAGCTAACTTGTCTGTGGTTCAGTAAAAATAAATTATTTAAATAAAACACTTTAACGGTTTAAAACGCGATATATTAGTTAAACTTATTTGAAAATGATTTTTAACTTCGGCCCGACGTTTCGGATCTTTCAGCAGCCGTGGTCACGGTCTCCCCGTGACCACGGCTGCTGCAAAGCATCCGAAACGTCGGGCGAAGTTAAAAATCATTTTCAAATAAGTTTAACTAATATATCGCGTTTTAAACCGTTAAAGTGTTTTATTTAAATGTGTACTACTCGCGTAAACTATAAAGTATTTAAAAATAAATTATTTAAACTAGATCAAATTCAAATTGCAAATTTTACCTTTATCCTTCCTCTGCGCTTTAGCTCTTCCAACAACTTTGCCATCCTTGACTATTAGTTTCTTTTTGGTTCCCCTCTCCATCATGTATAATGAGTTGGCTGGAGTCCGAGCCGAACCCTCTTCAGAACCAGAACTGTCAGTCTCCATACTATGAAAAAATTATAAAAATGCATACTCACTTAGGGCTATTAATTAAAGTAATTTTAAATTGACAATGATTTAATGCTTCATTTATCAAATATAAAAAAACACATAAATAAACAACTATGTATATAGTGCATTGTCATTATGATATTTTAGAAGAAAATACTAGTTAAATGTGAAAGTTTCGCAGTATGTTAGAATTTAAGATAGTTGTTTTTTATTTCTTCAAGTTTCTGCTAGTTATTTATTTATATAAAAATAAATTATACATACTAGTTGAGAATTGTCAACAATAAACTTAAAAAGACCATTAATAGTATAGCTACAAATAGCTACCTTTCTAACTTATTGTAGGGTTAAAAGAAAGTAGTATTTCTTTACCTATCAGCATTTTCAGCAGTGTTTTCATAATAGTCGGACTCACTGCCTGACGCGGCTTGCGTTTCTTCCGCTGGTTTCGGCGTGGGCTCCGTATATTGTTCCTCTTCCTGCCTGAACCCCGAATATGATTTCACCGGTGTCTGGCGACGGTACCTCGTCTCAATATCATCAGGCGACTCAAAATCCATCAGCTTGGAACTCTTTTTCCTCACGCGGCCGCTTCGCGACACTCCGGTCACTTCTAAATCTTGAAAGTTGGTAGATATTATTACAATGAATAAATATTAGGTTCCTTTTACTTAATAAATTGATATTGTACGCACCTTCCTGCATTGTTTATATATTACTTGTGTCGATTGTTGATAAGACTTGTTGCGTTTCTAAAGCAAATTAATAATATGCAAATCAAATTTAAACCCCACGAAATTCTTAAACTTCAAAACGGCGCAGTGGTCTAGTTGAAACTGTCAATGTCAAACTAGGCTTTTTCCAAACATTCTATGATTGTCAATTGCCATTTCTTTCATGACCTATGGATACCAGTCTTTTAGTCGAAATAAAACAAATATGCCAATTGTTAAACTGTTCAGTGTTACAAGCATCGGCGGCAAAACTTTTACATTAATTCAGAATATAATTATTATGATTAAGTATTAATAATGGTGTAATAAATAAAAACGATTTATAATAATTTATTGTGCTAAACCAGTAACAAAACAAGCCATATCCTTACATTATAGTACAAAAATAACCCTTTTATAAACAAGTTCAAATACAAATATGTATTAGTGGAGGTTGGTACCGTGTTGACAGTTGACGTTAAAATAATATATCACATATTTAAGTAAAATTATGCATATACTTTGAGGTAGTACCAAAAATCCAAATCACATTATTTTAGTATATAAGATATATAACTATACTTTAAACAGACAGATTAGGGGTATTATGTAACTTATACAGATGCATCATGGAATATTTCATTACCTTGTTAAACAATATAAAATGCCGCTATCACTTGAAATACATAAGCAAATAAGTTCAGTGTAGTCTACTGTAATGTGCAGTTTAGTAAAATATAATAAGAAATACGCCTTTTTGTCAGTTAAATCAAGGGATCATCGAGTTTCTTCTAACAAAATCAACTGACTCTTCCAAAAATATTTCCGAATATAACAACTACGCACATCAATATACCGACAGCAGTTAAAATTTGATTAGTTTCTAGTACTACTGGTTTAACTGTTTTTTCCCGTTCCTTATCATCATCTAAATCTTGATGAACCACAGATAATGCTTTCGCTAATTCCGCATCTGATTTCGCACTAGTCTGTGCGGATGCAACGACTAACTTCTTCAGTTCCCTTATCTGTGTATCAAACACATGCTCTTGATGATTTAAATGGTCTGCAAACAAAAACATTTATAAAACATTTTTAAGACAAATTGCGAAAATGAAAGCTTATTTAATATTTACCAATCAATGAAGCTTGTTTGTTGACTAGATTGTTTATATTTTCCTGCATTAAACTTAAGTTTTGTGCGAGTTGCTCCTGGAAAAATAATTTGTTACCAAGATCGGTTATTTTATATACTTTGAATTACTATACTGGTTTGACATTCATATATGTATATTAATTCCATGAATAAATGATTTTCGTCATTTTTAATTTTGTTTAGTACTTACCTGATATGCAAACTCTGTTTTCATGGCCTCAGTTATATCAGACCGATTGGCAGTACCTCCTCCAGCAACAGTATACAAAACACTGGCGCTACGTGCCATTTGTTGTTCCATCATTTCTCTGAATTCTGCCATTTTTAATCGGTTATTTATGGTTGAGCCCGCGATTCCGAGAACTGTGCCTAGAAATAAAATAAAACTATAAAATGTTTTAAAAATCTTATCCCTAAAACATTCATACACTTAAATTTTGTAATTAAGATTTTGTCCTTTGCATAAAATTTTGTTTGTAAATACTCAGCAAAGGTAAAAGTAAATAGGCTTTTTTGGTTTCAATTTAAAAATCGAAAAGCAGTTGAAAAAATTTTCGACTTGGGCAGGACTTGAACCGGCATCGTCAGTGTTCCATGTTGTTGCTCTACCAATTGAGCTACCGATGGTTTCAATTTATCTGAAAGTGATAAGAAAAAGTCTAAAACTTACCAAAAATAGAGGCCACAATGTACCAGTATTTATTTCTCTCTGCATGTGCTCTCTCTCTTTCATGTCCCAACTTGACAGCAGCAGACATTGTTGCAAAGAGCTCCCTTTCCTCCTTTTCAGCTTCAGAAAAATGAGTTCTAGCTGCTCGCTCTTGAATTATCAACTGCAAAATTATAGAAAATAGATTAAATATTATTGTAGTATTTTTAAATGTTATTGAACTTAAACTGAAAGTGCTTAATTATAATAAAAGTTTATGGAATCTTTATATTCCTATTTTTTTTTGAAATATATTAAAATTTAAAATATCATTGTTATTAAAAATATCATCTTTTACCAACAAATTTTGAAAGTCATAATAAATCATAGATTGATTATGACGATTCATTAAAGAACTGTGTCATTGTGATTTTACTTACATAATATAACTTAACTACAAAACAAACACAAAACTATATAAAACAACTATCAATAGACACATAATGTATAATTTTAAATACTGGCCAACAGTCTGTAAACCAATATAAAAATCACCTTATGTTCTTCTGTACACAAATGTAAGTACTTCTCGTCACCCTTCATTGTATTTTGCATCTCAGCATGAAGTTCTTTTAGACGAAACTCTATTTGTGCTAATTCTCGGCCCAATTCGCGCCGACGGTCTTGGGCTGACATAAATTTTTCCTGCAAATAAAAGGTAAAAAATTACAAAAGCTATTTTAATGAAGTATACAGTCATGTGAAAATAAAATTTGTTTCGTTATAATGAAAGATTAATAATATAATTTTATAAAAGATAATTTTACAATATAAAATCTAAGTATGGACATTTCAAATCAACTCCTTAGAATTAGAATAATATATAAGAATGAAATTAGAAAAAAATTAAACAAAAAAGCTTATGAAGACCAAACCTGAGCCTCAACCACTGTATTCTGTATCGCCATAATTTCGTCGATGCCGGTGAATTTTTCGTATTTATTCACCATTTCCCTTACTTTGTTGACTACGGCTTCTTGTTTAAATCTATTAGCGATAGCTGACATCCTTTCTGCAGGAACATACTTGGTAACCAACTGATCCACCTTTTCCCGGCTGTTTACGTTCACTTGCGCAGTTTGTACCTTGTCTTTAACCTGTTGTGCGAATCGCCGAAGACGGTCGGCCATGGTTTCATGTTCTTCTCCAAATTTTTGATTAGAAAATAATCTAAAAATGCGGAAATTAGAAATAGAAGATTTCTATGAGTTCATCCTAATGACATTAAGAGGAGTTTAACCTCTGTCATAATTCATAACTGACAGAGGTCGAATTATTTCCGATCTGACATCTGAAGTAATTTTAAATTACGTACTATAAAAAGTTAATTGTCAATTGTTTTGTCACTTTAGTACAATATAATCTGTGTAGATGATTTTAGAATTTACCTAATCTGTATTACGATAGATTAATAATTGCCAGTTGTTTTTCTGGTCACTGTATCTTGAAGCCCGAAGGAAAATGAAAAGGGACTCGAAAGAAACTTTTCTAATGGTCTTTAGAAAGAAAGACGCTTACTACTTTTAAATACGTTGTAAAATATACCAGCATGAATTCGCCAACTCGATTAAACAATAATTAGTAATTGAACGTTATAGAAAACTATCTTTGTACATAAAGAGTTCGATCAATAAACTTATTAATAATTATCAAAATTAAATTTAGGATGCGGATTAAGATTCACAGTCAATATTTGCTATTAAAACATACATACGCGTTATAAAGTAAACAGAAAATATAACAAACAATGGTAAAAAAATATGCAATTCAAACATTTGATGTGAAAACTAGTTTCCGTAAATTAAGTATATTAATAATTGGTCTTAGCTCATTTATAAATTAAATAAGACTAAGTCTTGGAATTTTAATTTTAATTATATTATTTTAGGAATAATAAAGCTCGTATATCTTAGATGAATAATTCTCCAATTACGAATTTGAGCTTATAGAGACACTATGTGTATAGTATTAGAAATTAATTGAGTTCATCAGTTCTCTCTTACGTCGCAGGTGTAAGTACTCATAATTATAGCTGAAATCCGCGATGTTACCATCCGCGGGTGACATCGCTTACGTTAGGTACATCCGATGTTACCTGCGGATGGCCTGTATTTATAACTAGCTGAGTCAGCGACATCGTAATCGTAGAATTATTATTTTGGATATCAATTTTTGATTTTGCAAACCTCCTGTTCAACTCTGTAAATTTAAGCTGTTATCCACGACGTCGTCCGCGTCCCATCGTTCTTGCAAGTTAATCTTACAAGATAAACATATACTGTCACGGACTTTTTTTAGATCATTTAAAGAGGACTCATTATTTCATATATAAAAAATGTTCGCAGCGTACACAATGGAATCTGTATCTTCGCTCCTATAAGTCACAGCGATATAATTATTAAAGTAAGTGATGATTAGTAAACTAACAATTTTTTATTAATAAGTCATTTGCCGAAACAAAGTGGAAGGTAAAATGTATAAAGGGTACTTATAACATAAATGAAATGGATGTATGCTTACACAACGGCATTATAAGGCAGTGTTTTAATTTTTTTAACGATAAACTTAAAAAAAAAAAAAAAAAGAGAAAAAAAAAAAAAATAAAAAAAAAAATTAAGGCGGGGGGGGGCCCCCCCGCGCCGGGGGGGGGGAAAAAAAAAAAAAAAGGGGGGGGGGGAAAAAAAAAAAAAAAAAAAAAAAAAAAAAAAAAAAACCGCGTTTAAACCCGAAAAAGGGTTTTTTTTAAATGTGTACTACTCGCGTAAACTATAGACGATAAACTAAATTAAAAGAAGATGAGGGAATAAACTAGTTATGTAATATCTGTACTTGAAGAATTATTATTGTAAACTTATTTTTGGTGGTCAATGTCTCGACATTTAGATAACGTTATCTATTATTACTTATTAGTGTGAAACTTGACTGTTTTTGATTGGGGTTTAAATCATGGCCAGACTGTTTTAATCAACATCATCTGCCCTTAAAATATTTTTTGTTTGATAGTCTTGCAATATGTTCTTCTAAAACATGTTCATTTCCTTACTATTTATTCTTATACTAGAGAGCAAGAGCGTACAAATCTTCATATTTATGTGCACAAGCAGGAATCGAATTCCCGAACGCCCGCTCGAAGTCATCTCATATCAAATACCAATGTCATGTTTAGTGTTAGTTGTTATTCAAGAATTATTTTTAATATCAACTCACGACCCGCCCCGGCTTCGCTCGGCTGCAATGCTGATACTAACTACTACAGGCAAACTGTGAATTTTGTATATAAAACCGTTTGTTTTATACTTTGTAGTGACAAAACAATTTTTCGGCCGAGGTGAATCTGTGGGCACATTTTTTAATCTCTAGGTTGATTTTTAATCGATATATTCTTGGCAAGGAATCTTCCAGTACCCTCGAGTACTTACGATAATATTCGATCTAGGGGATTATAGGTCAGATTTTTTTAACACAGACATGTTATTGTTTAAAAAGATTTCCTCATTAATCGTCCATGGTCAAATGAACACAAGCTAGTTTTAAGTAATAAGTCCATATTATTTTTTTTAAATATAATTACACGGTTTTAGCAGACCTGCGTAAGAGATAAAATAATTAGTGAAAAACAAAAACGAAGGAATCAACAATGGGGCATTTTGAAATAGACATTAGATGCGAAATTTGGAAAAAATACAACAATGAATAGTAGGTGAAATTCAGCCATATAACATCACACAAGATGTGCTATCGACCTATTTTGGCTTTGGATATTCGGAAATCTATAGACAGAAATTGAAACGCGATCATATGTGACGTTTTTTTATCTGTGGACGGTGGTTCGTGGCCCGGACGGAATTTCGACATTCCTACCACCTATTTAATATTCAGATTTCCAGACGAATTCCAACATGTGTCAAAAAAATATATAAATTGATTAGAAACATTTTGAACCCGGTGGGGATCGAACCCACGGATCGTCGATTTATAGCCGTACATTGCTACCATTACATCAACCAGCCCGTCAAAAGAGGTTCCTACAATACCTCATTTATATCCAACATTGTCTCAAAGGGAGTAATGTTTTAGGCCCAAGCTCTCAAAACGTGTAGCCTTTGGCCCTGGCTAGAACGGCGAGCTTGAAGCAAAAGGTCGCATCGTAAGATATACGATTCAATACGTTTCGTAACGGTCGGCGTTGGTGCGCGTGAGTTTTGCCGCGAAAATTTGACGTTTCGATTTTTGAATTTTAAACTTTTAGTTCTTGTGGCCATGGATTGTACTTTTTGAAAAGTATTTTGTTTTGTCACTTTAAGGTAAGCTGGTTTTTTTTAAAATAATACGCAAATGTACTTAAATTGCGTGTGAAGGGAACTTTTAATTTAAGCTAGCAAGCAAGTAAATTTTAAACGATTAACTAGAAGTTTAATTTTATTTTATGTTAACAAGTAAGTACTTAAATACTGTCTATAGTTTACGCGAGTAGTACACATTTAAATAAAACACTTTAACGGTTTAAAACGCGATTAGTCTCCCCGTGACCAAGGCTGCTGCAAAGCATCCGAAACGTCGGGCCGAAGTTAAAAAAATCATTTTCAAATAAGTTTAACTGATATAAAGTGTTTTATTTAAAAGTAACTCCTTACTGATTTTTAATTAAAAGCTATATTTATCTGTAAAATACAAAAGATGACAATCAAGTATTGTCTGCAGTTTACGAGCATAGTAGGTACCTATTTAAATAAAACGCCTTATTTCAATTTCTTTTACACAAAACTCGACGTTTGCAATAGTTTAATAGGTTTGAAACCTTTTTAAGTGTTCTACATAAAGATTCACTTTGAACTAAAAGTGAAGAATTAAAACCAATAAATTTTCAATGGAACTTTCCCGATCGAAAAACAATTATGTCGATAAAAATAAAAGTCTACTTGTTTCATTATCTTTTTTTATAATTATGTGTGTCAATAAATATGTCGTAAGTTGTGCAAGTTCCTACTTTATAGTAGTTAATTGTTGCCAATCAAAATATAATTTATCTCACATGTAAAGTTTAACATCTGGATATTAAATGGGTGGTAGGAAAATCGAAAATCATGTCCGGGTCACGAACCACCTTCCTATGATAAAAAAGCAATGAAGTTCAATTACATTTCAGTTTTTGGATTTCCGGATATCCAAAATCAAAATATATCGACATGATTAAACTTACCTTACCTCTTCCGTTACTTGAATGATTATTGATATGGGATACGTTCATAACCAAAAATGTTTTGTCACGTGACAATACTTTAGGAGATTTAATTCAAGACTGAGTGAAAAGATTGGATGAGTAAGATGATAAAGTTTTTCTCTTCCTACCAGAAGGAGCATTTATTATTATTTTCCTCTGATTTCCAAATGTTTAAACGCCTGTCTGTAGTAGTACACATTTAAATAAAACACTAACGGTTTTAAGCAGCTGCTGAGCATCCGAAACGTCAGACCGTAGAATCACTTTCAAATATGTTTAACTACTGTTTATTGCGTTTTAAACCGTTCAACTGAAGATGATTTAAGATAACTTAAGATTAATATTATATTTCTTACTTTACAGCTGTTAAATAATTAAACAAATTATCTTATATCTTCTAATCTTTTGTGACCGTGACATATGGTCAAAGAGACGAGAGTGATGTAAATTTTTATTTTACAATTATTTATTGTATAGCATAAATTTGTATGTGCTACGTCACTATTACCCAACAATCATGGTGCTCTCTGTAGTTTACGTGAGTAGTACACATTAAAATAAAACACTTTAACGGTTTAAAACGCGATATATTAGTTAAACTTATTTGAAAATGATTTTTAACTTCGGCCCGACGTTTCGGATGCTTTGCAGCAGCCGTGGTCACGGGGAGACCGTTACGTTTTAAACCGTTAAAGTGTTTTATTTAAATGTGTACTACTCGCGTAAACTATAGACAGTATCTAGGGACCATAGTTACCCGGTACCCCGAAGGGGGGAGTTGCCCTAGGTTTTTGGTAGTTGTCCCTAGGTTAACTAATATAAGTATATGACGTTTTAAACCGTTAAAGTGTTTTATTTAAATGCTGTAAACTACTACGTAAACTATTCAGACGGCAATGAAAGTTTTGC